GACCTGATTCCGGCATGGTTCCCTGGGCATTCGATACATACAGGCATAGAAGTGGACTAGGCCAAAAAAGATACAATATGAATTCTCTAGGTCCCAAGCACTACTGTGGTCTAGCACCTTGCCAATAAACCAGGATATCAAAACAGATCCTTAATGAGTCCAAATGGGGCAACACCATAGGCATGAGACACGAGAAGATATTCATATAGCAGAAATCTGCAAGACCTGTAAAAGAATTACTGGAAGGCAACCATAAAAGAAGCAGGATTTTAGTTTGACTCCTGACAGGGCACCATCGCCTAAGAAAGCATATGCATCGTATAGGAGTACTGATAGAAGAAATGCCGTGCAGATACTGCCAGGAGACCGCAGAAACCATTATGTTTTTGTGAAGGTTTACGTAGGTGCAGATTGTTGCAACTAGGAAAGGAAATGCTGCAAGCAAGATGGTCTGACTTGAGCAAGAAATACGTTTAAAAGAGAATTTTTTGTTGTATACCCATATTTCTTGTTTTTATTGAAATGAGATTTATTCGACTTCAAAATTAATAAAATTTATTAAAAAAATGAACCTTATTCTAATCTTAAATCTAATCCTAATCCCTAACCCTATATAACCTAGTGCATCCTTAAACCTAACCCTACATGCCAAATGTATAATGTCCTTAAACCTACCTAGCTTAACATATCCTTATTCATCATTAACTTAACTCGCCCCGAACCTTAACCCTACATAACTTAATGTCATACGTCCTTAACTCTAACCATAACCTACCTAATCTAATTCACCCCTAACACTGGTACGTACTGAAAAACATTAACAACTATTTATCTACATAACAACTGGAAAAAGCAAAATATTTAAGATATTTAGGAATAATATTACATCAAACACTGAATCAGTCATTTGCCTTTAAATTCTTGAATATTTCACATGTAAGAAAACCGTGGTTTTTGTCTATTTATGAGGTTTTTTATTTTGAAATTGTTAACCAGTTGCAGGGAGAAAACATTGTGATTTTTTATATCCTTGATACTTGATTCTCTTCATAGAAAAGAAAATTGAATCATGCAACCTAACCTAGCACAACCTTAACCACAACCCTATCTAGCCCTAACCCTACATAACCTAAATATAATATCCCTAACCTTATCTTACCTAACCCTGTCCCTAACTAGCCTAACCATTCCTATTCTAACCTAAACCAACCCAATCAATGCATATTTCCAATAATGTCAAATCGTTGACACAAAAATGGACACGCAACAAAAATTTGTATATCCACTTTAAAAGTATGCTAAGATAAAAACAGAAGAAAAGTAATACTGACAACTGATATAAAATTGTATTCTTCTTAATTGTTAAGTTGTTAACAAACTCATACCATGCAAGTCTACAGTGGTTAATGAGTTCAAAGTTTAGGATTCTTGATTTTTATTTTGAAATAATTGTGGCCCAGGTGGAGCAGTAAAAATATATCTTAAAATTTTGAAAGTAAAGCACGTCCTCTCTGACCCTTGCGTTACATAGGGATCTCAAATCAAGAGCAGAGGGTAAAGTTCAGAATAACATATTTCATGCCTTGGCTCTGTATAAAGAGCAAGCTGGCCTTCTGATATTTGAACCATAATCAGAATAAATGTAAGAACAACTCAAAAATAATCTTCTGGGAATGTACTGTAAAAGGGATACAATTTTTTCTTTATTCTGAATAGGTCATACTCAATTGAAAAAATTGTTAGGGAAAATAGTCAATTTATGTGTGTGCAATAAATGGAGTGCGTTAACTTGTAGGAGCTTCAAAGCAGCAGCTTTTGTGTCCCCTATTGCATTATTTTGACTGAAATAGATTTTCATATAATTTCATTCAATGTGTCTTTATTAGCAAAAGCATGCTACATAAAATTATTGTATTACAATTAACAATTGTGCACAACACAATTCAAAGTGACTTGATTAATCTATGCATGTTTAACAAATGAACTTATAGCTTTTTATCAAAGCCCATGAATGTATCTCACAGTGAAAAAGGTCCAAATGAAGAGCCGAAATTTTAACGAAGATTATAAAAAAATTTAGAAAGAAAATTTACAAAAAAATAAAAACTTTCTTCAGAAAGAATTCTGATTTTCATGATTATAATAAAGCTAATTTCAGACAACCCAAATCAGGACATTTCATTGGAAAATAATATCATCTAGCTACATTGGCCTTCTAATCACTCTGATAAGATTAAATTTTCAGTGTCTCTTGTAATGTTTAAAAAGCGATTAAAACTATTTCAACTTTAAAAAATATTTTTATTCATGGCAATAATATTTTGAGAACAAATCTGATGATAATTTTCTATTAAGAAATATTTAATATAATTATTACCGTAGTTCTTGTATCATTTACTGTTTTATCCTTATTGTTATGACATTGTCAATGCAGAAATGTTTGACAATAAATTTATCTTATCTTAATAACTGTATCCCTTCAATCTTGCTAAATGATTCACCCATACCACCGTAAAAAGTCCAATGAAACTGAAAATATTTTTTAAAATTAAACTTCATTCTTGTTTGGGAATTTTGAAATTCACTTGAAGTTGAAGTCAGTCTGAAAAGAGTGTCACAAATTTTTATTTCATCATTTTACATACTTTTTTAAATACTTGTACAAATTACGTAATAAAGGTGATTAAAGATGATTTATTAACTGATTTTCTTTATTGCATTATCGCTTTTTCTTTTGTTTTAATGAACCGTATTATCTACAATCTAAACAATTTGTTATGCTCTTTTGTGCTGAATAATCTTTTTACACTGTTAACGATTTATCAACAGATTTAAAATTATTACAGATAATCAGTAATGTCAGAACAAACCATTGTTAGTTAATTTCGAGGAATTTTGTTGAGTCTGGACCTTTAAATTTCTCGAATGTTTTGCAAATTACAGATACATCTAAGAAAACCACGGTTACTCGTTCGTCTATTTATGAGTTTTCAAATTTTGAAAGTGTTAGTCTGTTGCAGGGAGAAAGCATTGATTTTTATGTTCTTGATACTTGATTCTCTTCTTGGAAAAAAAATTGAATTAGAAAATCTTTTGGGCCAAAGCCCGCACAGGTGCCCCTTATGCAGAGAAAGGTTGCTCGATGTGTCCCACATAATAGAGGTGTGTCATGCCTTGGCTCCATACAGAGAGCGTGTAGGCATGCCACTGGATTTAAGAAGAGTTCTCGAACCCTGTAGCGAGTTTCAGGGTCCCCTGTTCTGCTTTTTAGGAGAATTAGGAATTTTTTATCGTACATAGCCTTCAAAATATGTATTTTATGTTTCTGTGTCTTGTATGTGTGAATGTATTTATTGGTGTGAATGGGGAGGGGCTGATGGTGAAGTAGATTTTCCATCACCTCTCAGGTTATGTGTAAGACTTGGGCCGATGGCAGAAATTTTATAAAAATACCCCATTGACCCCAATTTAGATTAGTTTATTATAGTAAACAGGTAGATGAGGAATATCGAGTACTCCATCTACCAAACAGAAAGCACTCTACCAAACAGTATGAGTGCGATCAATGTATATAGGTATGAATGTATTTATTGGTGTGATTGTGTATCGAATGTGTAGCGGGATTTCGCTAGTGCTTCAGGGCTGAAATGACCAAGCTGTCGGATGCCCTTGTCAACAAAAAAAATTTATAAAACTTAACCTAACACGAACTTAACACAACCCTAACCTTACCTAACCTAACTCTGACTCTACTAGCCTAACCATTACTAACTTAACCTAACCAATCACACTTCCACTTCATGCCAAATTGCTTTCTGATTGTTTTTCTTTATCGTCCTATCGCTTTTTTCTTCTCTTGTTTTAATAAACTGCATTATTTCTGGTTTAAAATGATCTTTCGTGCTGAATAGCCCATTTCTTTTACCCTTTTCATTTTTCGTCGTTAAATCCGAGGAATATTGTTTAGAAAGTGTATGATAATTTCAGTTCACTTGAAACACAACTCGTGCTTAAAAACCTGAAAAATAATTCCATTTTGAGCAGTACTATTTTTAATTAATAATATAAGACATAGATATCTGCATGTAGACACTATCTTATAATTTAAAAAAAAAAAAAAAACCTTTGAAAAAATATAGACAGACTTTTTTTTACAAATGTTTTCTAATTAATTTAAATATAAGCAATTTTTGCTATAAGAAATAGTTGTAGCAGTTCTTCCAAAGTTCTCAAGTTGGTCTCAGACATTTTCAGCATTTTGCCATCCTCTGTGTGCCGGGATAGGGAGACCAAAATGATAATTAATGACCAAATTGCAAGTTCATCACCCCACATCCCAAACGAGAAAAAAAAAAAAATTGTTCAGTATTTTCAAAACTTTGAAAAAGACCGTTTTTTATTTATCTTTATTTAGTCTTTAATGATAAACCTGATGAAATTTGGTCTAAAACAAAATGAAAAATTATCCGAATCGAAGATAATTCATGAAACAAATAAAAGCTCAACATGGTGTGCGCATGGCGGCTGGCTTTAGATTGGAGAAAATCGAAAAGGATTAAAGAATAAAAAACAATGGAGTTTACTTACAATGATTGGCAATTAATATTAATAAATTAAATATTTATTAATGATTTGGGATTACAAGCTCGTATTGAAAATTAAAAGTACTATTTGGAAGGATTAGGTAATAAAAACTAAAAATATGTTGATGGAACCATTTATTAGTACAATAGTTATTTTATAAGCAACATATACTATATGAATATAGATAAAATAAAAACTATAGATAATATAAATCCACACCCATTAATAGAAAATAAATCAATCATATAATAAAAATAATGTTTTATTTATTAATTAAAAAAAAATAGATTTTAAATTGTTTTTTAAATTTTGTATATTAAAATCAATGTTTTTAAAATAAACTAAAAATCTAACATTAATTCTAATTATTTAAATTATTTTAATAAATTCTATTATAATATAATAAATTCTAATAATTTAAATCATTAATTAATTTTTTATTCAATTCACCAACTTAATTTAAAATTAACAATACGACGTGGCATTGACAGACTCCCCTTGAACTTTAAGCGATGGAAAATTTTTGTCCTGATCAGCCATCTGGACTCGGTTCGTTCGGCACAAGTCAGACCCTAGCTGCCTGCTTTTGATGTTCTTTTGTAAAGTGGAGCTGCTGTTGCTTTATAGCTTGCTTGACAATCGTGAAGATAGATGGGGAAAAACGCTGACCCCTGGCACTCGTCAACATCGATACACGCCCAGTCAAATTACCCCATGACAGATCTTCGGGTAAAGTCATGCACACGTCTTTTACAAGACCTCCTTCAACATTGATATCGATGTGGACGGTTCCACAACCAACGTTGTGATCCTGGCTGACAGTAAATTTCGGAGTCTTTCCAAATCTCCATTCCCAGGTGCGCAAATTGTTCTTAATTTCATCAATACCTTTAAAAAATTATTGTTCACTATAGAATTCGGTTTATTAATATAATAAGAAATAAGATAATATTTAATTACCAGGGAACCAATCGTGACTTGGATTGACCAATTGAAAACCGTTCTGTTTTTGCACCTGATTCCAACCACCGTCCTGCTGTGTCAAGGCAGTAGTCCTCAGGTACTGCCATCCGACTTCCGCCACTAACTTTTGCACTGTTATTCCTGAGTGGAGTTCTTTGAGATTTACGGTCGGCGATGGCGCACTTTTTGTAGCAGTACTACCACTGATGGACATTTCCTAACAGATAAAGAAATTTTGTTTGAACATATTCTTTTCTTTCAAACCACATTTGTCTAATTTGTTGTTGTCTTACTTCATTTTGAACAAGTGATGATTTTAAAAGTTTCTTATCAACATCTACTAAAAGCGTGCAGTGATGGTATGTGTTGAGCCTTCCGATTCTTGAAGCAGTACCAGAAATCTGAAAAAAGTAAGAAAAATCATTTTGGCCTTTTTAACCATCTATCTTGGACAGACACACTGAAGATGTCAAAATATATCTGACAAACCAACTCAGTGAGGATAGGCTGACCAAAATGGTCAGTAATGACCAGATTTGTAAGATGGTCTTTCTCAAATGTTTGAAAGTAATGGACAATATTTGTTTTGCGATTTTTCCTCCTGAGGTTTAGAAGATGAGGTTATTTGATCGTTACCGATCATTTTGATCTACATATCCTCCGAGTTACTGAAGATGGCAAAATGCCAAAACGCATCTGAGAGACCCAGTGAAGCGAGGCAGACCAAAATGATCTGTAGGGACCAAAATTTTTTCTCTTGTAGTCTGTGGGTGGTAAACTTGTAATTTGGTGATTACAGATCATTTTTGTCAGTGGACGCATTAAAGATAGCAAAATGCTGAAAAAACATCTGACACACCGAGCCAAGGCAGGCAGAACAAAATAATCAGTAACAACTAAATTTCAAGTTCATCACCAAATACCAAATTTTTAAAATAATCTTTTTCAAATATTTGAAAGTGCAGGGCAGTAATTTTTTTCTTTTATTTTTTATTTTGGTTTACAAGGAAATGAGCCTTTAATTTGGTCATTACTGATCATTTTGGTCTGCCTAACCTGGACAGTAAGACATATTGAAGATGGCGAAATGACAACAAGCAGGTGTAGCAGATAAAAATAATAAACAACCAAATTTCAGTCCATCACCAAAGACCATATTTTTAAGATAGTATTTTTCAAATCTTTGAATGTGTTGAACAATAGGTTTTTCTTTTTTGTGTTGTGCAAGGTGACAACCTGTCATTTGGTCATTACTGACCATTTTGGTCAACTAACCCTCAGCAGTTACAGGCAGATTGAATATGGCGAAATACCAATCAACACATCTGACCAACTAAGCGATTATACACAGACCTAAATGATCAATAACAGACAAATGTTTAAGAAGATATTTTTGTTAAATATTTGAGTATGTAGCACTACAATCCATTTTGGTCTGTGAATCCTCGCTGGTTTGGTCTGTCAGACATTGCCATCTTCATTGTTTGGTTACATATATAAGCTAGGCTTGCACTGACGACAGAACTGACACAAATCACAAACCCATTGACGAAAATAACAAGGATAGACAAACCAAAATAATCGATAACGACCAAATTACGTGCTCATCAACGTGCAGACCACAGGAAAATCACAAAAAAAAAATATTGACCAAAACTTTCAAATATTTTTAAAAAACTGCCTTAAAATTTCTAACTAAATATGTTATTAATATTAATATAGCTTGTACAGTTGTGATGAATTTATTATAATCATGAAAAGTCAGCATTGAATTTATTAATCTCTTATCTTAATTTTATCTATTTCAGATTAAACGATTATCTAATCAACAGTGATGATTTTTTTTTGTTATTCATATTTATTGCAAATATAATGACTACAACTTGACCTGTTTGTCAGTCCCTAAACTTTCCAAATTATCTTATAATTTTCTTTGGGAAAAGCATGTTTGACCCAATTTTTAAAAATTTAAACACTTTTTGACTATAAATTGTCTTCTTGCAGAAGAATATAATGTTTTTATGTTAAAGAAATTAAATAAGCAAATTTTGCAAAAGTACAAAATTTTACAATATTAAATTCACTAATTTCGTGGACCGCTTGACCAATTAATATATTATAATTAATTAAGGTTTTTAGTTGAGATAAAAAAGTCAATGGCACAAGCGGGATTTGAACCCACGACCTTCGGCTTGATACGCCGCTGCTCTACCACTGAAAAATGACAAAAAGGAGGGAAAATTCAAAAGGTGCGGTTGAGATGGGAAGTTGGTGTCCGAGTGGATCGAGGTCACGATAGCTCAAGTGGTAGAGCAGCGGCGTATCATTCCGAAGATCATGGGTTCGAATCCCGCTCGTGCCATTGACTTTTTTATCTCAACTAAAAACCTTAATTAATTATAATTTTACAATATATCGATGGGGAGAATTTTTATATTCAAACAATTTATAATACCTCGAGTTTGTCAAATGTTTAACCGTGAATATATTTGGTTGAATAATCAGCAAAAAAACTTTTGCGCCAATGCTACATAGTTATAATTGTTGAAGAGGGAAATATTCTGATGCAATATTATGCACTTTTATTTGGCCATGCCAAAACAAAACAACATGGGCAAGAAGTTTGCCTTGGATGCACAAGCCAAAAGAAAATTCCTCATCTGGCATAAACAACGTTAAATAAATCTAATGGTGTCCTTTCCGTGGTTTTTTTCTGTACAAAGTTCTGAATATAGATAGTTCCTGGATCACTGGCGCAATAAACAAAAATAAAAAAAATATTTAAATGTTTAAATTATTAATCTGGGTGGTGAAAGAATGTTGTGAATAACAGTTCAAGACGGCCTAGTTGACAACAACAAATGTTTACTGGAAGGATGATGTAATTTGATTAAAGCCTCAAGGATGTTGGCTTTCAAGGTTCTGACCGACCAAAATAAAAACAGAATCTAAAAACAAGTTCATTTCAAAATTTTCCTATGTTGTTGTTTTTATTATGCAATATTAGTTTTTAATTTTTTTTATTTAAATTGTTGGTTTAAATTAAACTAGTGAGTAATGCTTATTAATTGTATTTATTCTCTTTGTATGCAAAACAAAAATGTATCTATTTTAAAACTAGTTCAACTATCTATAACTTTTTTTTTGCAGAAGTAATTTACCAAAAAGAGAAAGTTACTAAAATTAACATGATAAAATTTGTTGGGAAATTCTGACTATTGCTTGCTTAATAGCGTCGCGTTTGGTTGGAAATGAGTTCTGAAAACAGCTTTAGCTAGGCACAACTGCTTATTATTTATAATTATGTTTTTTTATAAAGCCAAGCCCTTTTTTCTCAGTAAAAAAAAAATCCCAATAATAACAGTCCAGGAATTTGTTTGAAAGGACTTCCAATAAATAAAGTGATGAGCCTGTAATTTGATCATATTGATTTGCCTTTCCAGTTGCAGACACACTGACGATGGTGAAATGCTGAAACTCGTCTGACAGACTAATCCACTGAGGATAAACATACTAAAATGATCTATACTGACAAAATTTCAGGTTAATCAAATTTTTTGCGATATTTTATTTCTCGTGGTTTACAGGGTGATGAAATTGTATTTTGGTCTATACTGATCAATTTGGTCTGTCTATCCAGGGCTCATCTGTCAGACTAACCCAGTGAGGATAAACATACCAAAATGATCTATAATGACACAATTTCAGGTTAATCAGTTTTTTGCGATATTTTATTTCTTGTGGTTTACAGGGTGATGAGCTTATATTTTGGTCAATACTGATCAATTTGGTCTGCCTATCCAGGGCTCATCTGACAGACTAACCCAGTGAGGATAAACATACCAAAATGATCTATACTGACAAAATTTCAGGTTAATCAAATTTTTTGAGATATTTTATTTCTCGTGGTTTACAGGGTGATGAGCTTGTATTTTGGTCTATACTGATCAATTTGGTCTGTCTATCCAGGGCTCATCTGACAGACTAACCCAGTGAGGATAAACATACCAAAATGATCTATAATGACACAATTTCAGGTTAATCAGTTTTTTGCGATATTTTATTTCTCGTGGTTTACAGGGTGATGAGCTTATATTTTGGTCAATACTGATCAATTTGGTCTGCCTATCCAGGGCTCATCTGACAGACTAACCCAGTTAGGATAGAGAGACTAAAATGACCTATAATGAATAAATTTCAGGTTAAGTACCAAAGACCAAATTGTTAAGATGGTCTTTTTTAAATATTTGAAAGTGTTGGACACAATTTTTTTGTGTGATTTTTCCTCTTGTTTTTTACAGGATGATTAGCCTGTAATTTAATCGTTACTGATCATACTGGTATTCAGGACAGTTACAAACACACTGAAAATGGTAAAATACCAAAACTTCTGATAGACTAACACAATGAGGATAAATATACCAAAATGACCTATAATGACCAAATTTTAGATTAATCACATTTTTTGTGATTTTTTTATTTCTTGTGGTTTACAGGGTGATGAGCATATAATTTGGTCATTACTGACCATTTTGGTCTGCCTATCTTGGGCATTTACACACTGAAGATTGCAAACCCAGCAGGAAGGGGGTGTAGGTAGACAAAAATAATTGGTAAAAAACCAAAATTTCAGGTTCATCACCTAAGACCAAATTTTTACGATGGTCTTTTTCAAATATTTAAAATGGACATTATTATTTTTTTTCTTTATATGATTTATGGGCCGAGTTGGTCTCTTTGTTATGCTTAACTGTCTGCTGATGATGGTGAAAAACAGACTAAAACGGAGATAGACCAAAATGATTGGTAATAACCACCTGGCTCATCTCCTCATAAATCACAAGAGAAAGACTAACAAAAAAAAAAAAAAAAATTGACCGACACTTAAATATTTTAAAATCATCTTAAAAATTTGGTTTTGCGTTAATGATCTGAAATTTGGTCATTACTGATCATTTTGGTCAGCCTATCTTCGCTGAGTTTGTATATCAGACATTCAGCATTTTGCCATCTTCAGAGGTGGGTCAATTAATTGATTTACTTTCTATTTATGAGAGATAATGATGAAATTGAATCGACAATGAATCATGTAAAAAAGAGGATACATTTTCTGGCTAATTCTAACTGAAGATGGCAAAATGGTGAAATGCATACATCAAATAATAAAGTAATTTTTATTATACTATATATTTTTTTGAATATATAGGTCATGTATTTAAAAAGAAAAGGATACCTTGTAGGTGTCGTCGATTAGGATGTCTTCTTTGCTGCTTATCTCAGGTCGGAGATTCCACTCCCTCTCCAAGGTCTTTGCCAACAATACCAAGTTATTTTTCCTGTTGTATCTCTGTTTCGGTGCGAAAAAAGTGATGTTGAGGTTGCCTGGATCATGGTATACTGCACCTCCTCCCGAGTTCCTCCTTGCGAGGGAGACTCTGTTGTTTTCCAGACTGGTCAAATCCGACTCGCACCAAGGGTTCTGATGGCGTCCGATGACCACACAGGGATCGTTCCTCCAGAGGAGCATTACGTGGTGGTTCGTAAAGTCCAGGTTGTTGTACATCCAATCCTCAAGGGCGAGGTTGGTGTAGACATCGCTCGATTGAGATATAAACACAGACTTTTTGATGTCTTTCTCATCGACTTTCTCCTTCGTCGACAGGCCACAGGTCAGAGGTCTCGGGAACCCCTGACGAAGAGAAGTCACGATCTTTCCTCGAAGTGCAGATCTTACGACGCAAAATGCCATTTTTCTAAATCTTATCTTTCTGAAAATAAAAATTCACTGATTGTCTGCCAAAGTCAGGTCAGGTTTTATGCTGCCTACAAAATGAACTTTTGTACTAGAGAAAAAATGGCCCAATTAAGACAGCTAGTAGAAAAATTTTGCTGAAATCGAAGATACGGATATCATGTAATTGTGAAGATCGATGGTCTGGTGTAACCACTTCCAAGTTTGGTGCAACGTACAAGTGCGGTGTCTAAGAGCGAGACAATCACCACAATCCTTTTGCATTCCTTGTCGACCCTCCAGGATGAACACCTATAATTATTCCCTCTAGAATAAAAATGACAACGTCCAAAAACTAACCGGCAAATTTTAAAAGTTTCCTTTGATAGGACACTAGAAATTCACTAAGGATGGCCAGTAAAATGACAAAAACACGAAAACACTGCGCTGTAGTGCTATAACTCCCTTGAGAAACTGGTTTTATGGCCCCGGCCCCCACTCATAAGTGAAATTAGGTGATAAATATTTAACTGGAAGGGGTTCTACTCTACTTTTTTTTAATGGTCATCCTAGATTAGCGAATGATTAAAAGTAAAAAAAAGCTTGAAAACAAAAAATTATAGTTAAAATATATTTTCAAACATACCCATTTTATTTATAAAACTTTCCTAATAAAAATGAAAACAAACTACAGCTGCCTTAAAGAAATAACCTTCTAAAACGGATTTGCGCTCTAGAAATAACATACCTACACTAAATACTTTTCTTTCAATGACAACTCTAAACTGAAATTTTAATTTTAAATAAAACGCTCGTTTTTAATGACACAATAGCCAAAATCAGAGCACTTATTTGAATTTTAAATTAGATCTGTTTTAATTTACGTTTTGAATTTCCCTCTTTAGTTTCATTTTTCCGCCACTACGTGCAAAAAGTTCTGTTCCAGGTTACTTTAGGTGGTTACTTTTATCACAATTCCAGCCTTTTAGGAACCGACTTTGCAAAGTAATTTCAAATGGCAGCAAAAGCAGCAGCTACTAAACTTCCAGGTTGGAGGGGTAAGAGCTTATTTTCCTTTGTTATTAATATATTTTCATATTTATAATTTTCTCTGGTTAACTTGGCCCCTTTCTATTTCCAGAAACTATGAGAAGATGGGCATTCAACTTGTCTGGATACAACAAATACGGTAATTTTCCCTACAATTCATTAGTTTAGATTTAAATAATTGATAAACTATACAAACAAGTGGTTTAAAAATAGTTTTTTTAAAATAGTGCGATTGTCCTTGTTCATAAACAAAATAAGAAAAAAAAAGATCTCCAGAGTGGTCCTGGAAATGAATAAGATGACGAAGATCATTTTTAAACCTTTCAATAATGCTAATATTCTAGCCAATCATAGAGATAAATGATTTAATGCATATTATTCAATTAATTATACTTTTAATCTAAGGTCTTGGTTGAGATGAAAAAGAGTGACGAGCGGGATTCGAACCCACGACCTTTGGCTCAGCGCAGCTGCTCTAACAACTTGAGCGATAGTGACTTCAGTTGTAACAGCAGCGTATTGAGTCAAAGGTTGTGGGTTTGAATCCCGTTTGTTCATTTCAACCAAGACCTTAGATTAAAATAATTAGTATGGTAAATTGTGACTATTAAATACATATATGGATTAATCCATTTATGTAGTTTTCTTTGTCATTCTGGTGTCAGTCAAAACGACCAAAATATATCCGGCCAAGGAAGATGGCAAAATGCCAAAACATGCCTGACAGAACATCCAGTGGGGGGATAGGCAGACCAAAATTATTGGATTGACCAATATACAGAAGTAATACTATGCAGACGTCTAGTTAGACTTTTTTGTAAAGATCTGTGAGTGATGAACTGTAGTCTGTGTTTTCATTCTGGTGTCAGTGAGATGACCAAAATGCATAAAAATAGTGAATAGTAGAAAATAATAAAGAGACTTCATTGTAAGATTTCCAAACAGCCACAGATGGCGGCCAAAACATGTCTGACAGGTCAATTCAGTTTAGTGGTCTAATTGACCAAATTACTTGTTTCAATTATTCTTTTTATGTAAAGTCTGGGTTGAGATGAAAAAGTTAATGTCACGAGCGGGATTCGAACCCACGACCTTCAGCTCAATACGCCACTGCTCTCCCACTTGAGATATCGTAACTTCGATCCACTCGTACACCAACTTTCCAGCTCAACCCGACCTTTAGAATTTTCTCAAAGTCGACATTTACAGAATAATAGTTTCGACTATTAGTTAGTTTGTAAATGAAGTATATCATTTGAATTCTTTTCAATTAATTAAGGTTTTGGTTGAGATCAAAAAGTCAGGGTCACAAGCGGGATTCGAACCCACGACCTTCGGCATTCAAAAGGTGGGGTTGAGATGGGAAGTTGGTGTCCGAGTGGATCGAAGTCACGATAGCTCAAGCGGTAGCGCAACAGCAAATTTAGTCAAAGGCTGTGGGTTCGAATCCGCTCATGACTCTGACTTTTTTATCTCAACCAATACCTTACATAAAGTTTAATTAATTGAAAGAAGTTATTTGGTCAATCGGACCACGAATCTTAATGGATTAGAATAAATTATGCTCTCCAGATTTGTGGTTTTTTTTGTTTTTTTTTTCCAGAAAATTGTGATGGCTAAAATCATAAAAACTTGGTCCATTTGTGTTCAAAATATTCCTTCATTTGCGACTGATCCTTCACCATTTAGCTTATAAAGGAGCTTATATCCTCATTTATGATCGATGACAAGTACATGCATTTTACGTTCAACAATGGTTTAAATTAATCCATATTTGCTTAGTGGTTATAATTGACCATATTAATTATTCCAATTAATTATTCTTTTTATCTAAGATTATTCGGAGATCGTGAGATGCGGTCTGGTGTGACGTAGGTTTTAGAAAAACATTTTATTTTCCTGCCAACGTTTCGATCTTTATTGAGATCATCTTCAGGGCCTAGCATTTATAAAAATTGTTTAAATTATACAAATACATGTAGGATGTGAAAAAAAATGTATATAATGATAGAAAATTTTAGATTTAAAAAAAAATTAAATTTATACAATGATAGAAAATTAGAGATTGAAAAATTTTCTAGCATTGCATAAATTCATTTTTTTGTTGAATCTAAAATTTTCTAGCATTGTATAAATTCATTTTTTGTTCACATCCTACATGTATTTGTAAAATATAAACAATGTGAAAACTGGTGGGTTTGAATCCCATTTTTTCATTTCAACCAAGACCTTAGATTAAAATAATAATTACTTAAAACACTTAGTAGGGTCAATTATGACTATTAAATACATATATGGATTAAATACTATTATTAAATATTAATCCATATAAGAAGTCTGTTTATTCATTCTGGTGTCAGTCAAGACGACCAAAATATATATATTTTTTAATATTTAAAAAAAATAACAAGACTTCCAGCCTTTATCCAATGTAGTTTGATTGAACCTTTTTTTCCTTGTATGCTTAATTATTTCACCATGGATTTTCTTATTTCCTGTTTGTTGCAATGCAACCATGCTATTCATATGTATAATTCATATTTACTGAACCTGCAGGGTGATGGACATGTTACATGGTCATTACTGATCATTTTGTCTACATATTCTGAATTTTTTTTAATGCATTTTGGCTTCTCACCATCTTCAGCGGTAAGTCGATGAAGTCTTACTTTTTTTATTTGGTCCTTTTACTAAGAAATGAAAAGGTAGCCTTCACCTTGCAGTTCTTTAAAAAAAATTCTAACAATTTAATTTGTAAGATTTCTCTGACGGGGTAATGAACCTGTAATTTGGTCATTACCGATCACTTTGCCTATCCTGCAGACCACCCCAGTCAGAGGCGTTTCAGCATTATCGATAGTGTCTGAAGACCCACTATTTTTATTTATTTGGGCTAGCTGAATGTCAATAGAATGGAAAAGCAGACTAGAGTCCATCATCTCGCAGATTTTACAAAAAAAAAGTAAAACAATTGAACTGGTTAGACTTTCATTGAGGTATGTGGTGTGATGGTCGTATAGTTTGGTCGTTTCTGATCATTTTGGCCTGCTGTTTACATCTTACTGAAGCTATTTGGCTTTTCACTGTTTTCATTGTTGAGTCATCTCACAAGTTTCTCTTTTTTTATGCAGTTTACTTAAACTCATCTGACTGAGCATCCCAGCGAAGACAGGATTTTTTATCTTGGTATATACAAAGTAATATGTTTCCTTTTGCAATATTTGCTTTATTTATATAAACATACTACATCCTGCATCAACTGGTATAGTACCTGGTTTTGTCTATGATTCTTTTTTTTACTTTTTGAAAGTAACTATGCACTTAAGATAATTGGAATGTAAAACCTTACTATATTTTACATCTAAACATGCTTAAATTCCTTAAAAGTTCAATTTTTATCTGATGCATGTGATTAAAAGAAATTGTTGTTTTAGGACTTTTGTATGATGATTTACTAAGGGAGTCTGAGGATGTTCAAAAGGCTCTGAAAAGATTGCCCGATGATGTTCTTCAGAAGAGAAACTTCCGTGTGGTCCGTGCTATGCAGCTCGAACTGTGCCATGACCTTCTTCCAAAAGAGCAATGGACAAAATACGAAGAAGTTCGTATTTATCTTATTTAACTTATTTAAGTTTTACTCAATACAAAATTGATTGTTTTTCAGGATGTCAGGTACCTCTCCCCAATTGTCGAACAAGTTAGGAATGAAAGGGAGGAAATGGAAAACTGGGAGAAGGAGAATTAAATAGTTCAATGTGATTTTTCTCTGATTAGGAACGAAATTTACATTCGGTTTCTTATTGTCTACATTGTCAAATTCAATATTTGAAATGTGTAATTAGTCAGCATACAATATTAAAAATGCCATTTGTTATTTATCCTTAAATGTTTTACCAGGCTATTAAATCTTTATTGTTTAAGTGTGTAGAATGTGTTTTTGTGCCTCTGTAAATTGAACTTCTAAATTCGATACAGGGGTCAGTAAACAAACTGACCTTACATTCGGATTAAGAAGTTGTTTTGACTCGAATCACTCAAAAAAAGTTATTTCAGTTATCAAGGTATCAAAGACCATTATATAATACTACTTTGTTATTTGAAATTTTTTTAAAGCACAAAAACAGAAAAACAACTGAAATCTACTGGTATTTTTTAATCACTTGTTGTTATTAGACCTTCATGAAAATATATAAATAATAAGAAAATACATAAACAAGAACAAAAAAAAAAAACTGGTTTAAAAAGTGAAAAACAAGAGAAACAGAACTTTTTCCTACCTAATTTAAAAAATAACTACTTTAAATCTAGTCCATAAATTTAATTTATTACCCAATTTAATTGTATGAATGTTTACCACTCATACACCATTTAAGCCAGACCAGGTGTATCATATGCATTAAGGAGTCAGTGTGGTGGTATAGGTGATAACACCAGTAGAGGACAATGAGCCAGTATAGAACATTCCTAGGCGATAATGAACCAATATAGGCCATTCCTAGGCAATAATGAGACAACATAGGACACTCGTAGGCGATTATGAGCATTTTTATGACTTGTAGGCAATAAAGGGACAAATGCTAGGTCAAGGGCAAAAAAAGTGTTTTATGTAATCCCACCTAATCATGAATGGAATATTCCAGAACAAATAAATTTCACATCATCAATTGCTAACAATTTTATTATGGCAATAAATCTGTTTTATTGAAATTCTAATGGACTGGAATAAGCTGGTGAAGGGCGATTGAGATGATGAAACTGATTTAGTTTTTCACTTGAAAATTTATCCAACTACTGTCAAAACAATTACTTTTTCCTAGTGTTAGATGATCTTAATTTATTGTATTTAATTTTTCTTTTAACAATTCGTATTGATTATACAATTTGGGTATGCATTTAGATAGTGATAAGTTACAGGATTGGTATTGATTTAGGTTTATGATTTTATTAATAAAGGATGGAGCAAGTTAGTATAGAAAAACTGAGTAACAGTATGTATAAAGCAACCAGTAGTCAAGTGTTTTTGAAGAAAGTAAGGAAACAATGTGGAAACCATGAAAAGGAGAATAAGTAGCAAAAGTAAAAACTTTTATTTTGTAAATGTATATTTTAAAATATTTATAAATCTCATATAAAATGGACATGACTCTAAAAGTCTATTTGATTAAGAATTCGTTCTGTCGGAATGCTCAATGTTGGAAAGAAAAGTATCGAATGTAACATCACATTTATATAAGAAAATTTCAAACGGACGATCCATTTGATAACAAGATAAGGAGATATTAAACACATCTTTTCATCTATTTATATAAATTATAAATACACTTATAGAGCCAACAATAAAATATATATCACATAGTAAATATACAAGACTATTTCTGATACAAAATCATATGCCTTTATTTCCGTATATATTATCTACAGATTTTTATAATGATAATTTTAACATTTTGAAACTAACTATACATTTCAAAGTCATGGTACTTAGTCATACCTTTAAATGACATCAAGAGAGATAAAAATATTGGCACGAGTCGTGAAAAAATCAAAATGCACAAAATGGGGACCTAACAATATTAAAAATTCATCAAGATCATAAAATCACAATAATATCGTTTAAGGAAACAAATTTGTACTCTGAACAAATTACATAATAGTATTCAATTAATTGGTCAAGCGGACCACAAAAAATAATGAATTTATATAATAGTTTTTTTTTCATATAACTATAGTGTGGAAATAGACAAAAATTAAAACTATAGATGAACAGAACTTTTAAATATTATTGCGTCAACTCATCCATCCTACCGGACGTTGAAAACAAATCTCAACTATTTCTAGAGTTGATACATCGTCTGAAAGGTTTTTGGGACGGACTACAGTTAATTTGGCCCAAAGATTTATAAAAGTAACTAATAAACATCCACCAATGAACAAAAAAAGCTCGACACTTTTAACAAGCTTAAATTCTCTGCTCATCATTTAAAATCATACCTTGTTTTTAATTTATTGATTAATAATATTACTTTTTGCTTAATTATTTAACTTATATTAATTATAATGAATATTTCATAAGAATATATAAAAATACTAAATAAATTGAGAGATAAATCTTTAAAAGGGGAGATTTTTGTAAATAACTTATATGTAACAGATATGGTGGCTCTAAGGGAAAACTTATCTTACTTTTGATAAGGGAAATAGTTAATGAACATTGAAAAGTGAGCAAATTGTACAAAAACGAGCAACAATAACGAACAATTTTCACAAAAATGTATTGTGGGAAATTTTAGGCCTACGATTCGCTACGATACTCAGCACGGACATAGAGTTGAAAAATATGTCGAATTAATTCTCAAGAACCAATGCTGGTCATTGTTAAACATTAAAAAAAAAAAAAATGTTACAGCAAAGTCCCACTTTTCTGACTATTTTTCATCTGAACTGCTGATTTTTTAACGTTCATCTTAAAATTGTTAGCCCTACCAAGCAGGGCTGAAGATGGGCCTATAGTTTAATCCTTTCTGTTTTGGTTGTCAGACATGTTTCGGGTTCTCATCATATTCAGTAGTGGGTTTGAGCTAAAATTATTATTAAAAACTGAGTTATGTGACTAATTGAGATGCATCCGTCAAGCTGTCTAATTCAACATGTTTCTTGAGGATTATTTTTCTGGAAAATATGGTTTGTGAAGTATTAATGGACAATTTTGTGGATTGCCACATTCAAAATTTTACTGCCGATATTTTGATGAAGGTTCATCTTAAAATAATCAGACCTTCGTGGTGATAGGCCTGTAGCTTGGTATTTTCCGTTTTAGTCCACCTGATGCATTTCACATTCTCGACATCTTCAGTAGTGGGTTTGAACAAAAATTATTATTACAAACTGAATTATGTGAGAAACCGAGGTGCATCTGACAGGTCAATGCCCGTCTAATCCGATCACATTTCTGATAGTGTAGAGGATTTTTCCATTGGAAAATAATTTTTGTGGTATTAAGCCCATCCAAATTTTACGGTCAATTTTTCAGTGTACATTTTATCCAAAATTGTTAGGCCTGAGAGGTGATGTGCCTGTAATGTTTCTGTTTTGACCTATCAGACACATGGCGGTTTTCTTTAGAAAATCAGACGGAACCAGCGAGAATAGGCAAACTGAAATGACAAAACTACAGGGCCCAAAGAGAAGATCTGATAGAATCATTTATAGATTGGTCTTTTCCAAATGTTTTGGTCTATTAGACTCGTTTTAGGTGTTAAAAATGGAAAATGGTGAGAAGACGCAAAGCATCCCACAAGCCAAAACAGCGAATAAGGTGATCAGAATGATCCAAAATTACTTACTACACAATCACCTTGTCCTACTTTTTCCAAAATTTCAAGTTTATTTTATCAGGTGCGTCACCACAGCTAATCTGAATTTTTCCCAATCTAGCAGGACTCTACTGAATAATAGAATGGTCTGGTAATGACAATTAAATTATTAATTGTTTTAATTCATCAGCATAATAACATTAAAAAACCAGTCTGGAATAGATGAGCATGATTTTAATCAACAATCAGTCATGTGGGCTCTTCCAACACAGAATATTTCAGCTATGAGTGAAAAAAAAATAAACGAAATTACTATATTTTTACATTATAAAATCAATTTTATTGATTGAGTATTGACTTTTATTAATTATTTATTTAATTCGTGCTCAAAGAAAAACCGATGATGCTGGTCAGTGTCATTTTAAATTGTCGATGCATGTACAATTTAAACTATTATTTTCACAGAATCGATTAATAAATAAATCCCTGTTAAAAAATTAAAAAAAGACCATGAAGTAGGAATTTTCAAGACACATCCACAACTCCAACTGATTTTTTTTTAACCCATTTCCATACGTATAAAAATTCAAGTTTATCCCTTAGATAAAATATAAACATCTCTTCTCAAGTATACAATTGTGCATTATCGAATTGAACACGTTTTCTTTTAAAAAAATCTTTACTGTATCATTGCACATTTACGATTACAACTCCCCGGTGTAAAAGAGTTTGCCGAGTCGTTAGAACTATTTACGAGATTACTTCCTTTCACTTAGATAGCACCATTAAAATTAACAATATTATTTCCAAATTCAGTGTTATTGATTAATCCCCTAGTATTTACTCATTTTGGAAATATGTCAGATTATAGATCCTCATCGCCTATCCCTTCGAACGCATCGTTTTCTACGAGCGGCTGCGGCCTTTGCTTGTTTTTCAGGTTGCTCAACTTCTCTGAAAGGCGCTTCATTGACATAGTCGGTTCCGTTCTTGAAGGAGACCTGGGAGTGCCATTCTGAACACACACACAAAAAAAAAGTTAAATCAATTGCAAAGTATTGGGTCACAAAAAAGGCCAAAAGTCCATAGCTTTTTTTTTTTTTTTTTTTTTTTTTTTAATAGAAAATTCAATGAAAATTTAAGGCATTTGTAAATTTAATAAAAAATTATGAGCCATTTCATTTCACTATATTTTGCCATTTTCCATGTAATTTTTAAAATCAACCCTCCCAGAATTTCTCAGGGGTTTTGAATGATGAATGTTTTTTGTAGTTCTAAGGCGAAGTAAAATTGCTCCCATTTAAAGTTTTACAGCCTGGAATAAAGTAAATCTGATAGAGGAATATCAGGCCACTAACCATACTCATTCACACTCTCTCTCTCACTCTTACTCCATCACCCTCTCTCCCTTTCTCTCTCTCACTCACTAACTCTTACTTTCTCTTTCTCTCTTATTCCCTCTCACTCACTCTATGGTACACACCGTGATAAATTCTTCTGAAGTCTAGATGTAACTAGAATTAATTAAGGTTTTCAGTTGAGATAAAAAAGTCAATGGCACGAGCGGGATTCGAACCCACGATCTTCGGCTTGATACGCCGCTGCTCTACCACTTGAGCTATCGTGACCTCGATCCACTTGGACATCAACTTCCATCTCAACCACACCTTTTGAATGTTTTGAATTGAAAAATGGCAAAAAGGAGGGAAAATTCAAAAGGTGTGGTTGAGATGGGAAGTTGATGTCCGAATGGATCGAGGTCACGATAGCTCAAGTGGTAGAGCAGCGGCGTATCAAGCCGAAGATCGTGGGTTCAAATCCTGCTCGTGCTATTGACTTTTTAACTGAAAACCTTAATTAATTCTAATATATTAGTTGGTCAAGCGGACCACGAAACTAGTGAATCGAATCTAGATATAACATTTATTGCTCCGATAAACATTTTCAGCTGTTAGATGGGTTGAAACACTTGCATGAAATATGTTAAGTTTCCGTGCGATGTCTCATGACTGAATTTGTTCATCGTCGATGGATTGTTAAAGGATGATCAGAGTGCTTAGTGGTTTTTCCACATGAATGAAACTACCAATTAAGAACGGCCTTCTCAGAATAAACATTGTTTCAAAATAAAGGTGATCATTCACGATCACTCCAAATGGAACCGCGCCAAGCCATACAGGTCCATTTGCAGTGCCTGAAATTTGAGGGCATTCACGACCGCTCCACAGCCAGCCGCTCCAAACTCAACCAGTGAATTACCTTCTCAAAATGGATGACGATCTCTTGTGCTACTCTTCTGTTTATTTACATATTAAAAGCAAAAAATCGAAGAGGAAATGGTGTAAGAAGTGGCTCCTGAACAGAATCCGTAATACCCACATCAATTTGATGAAAGATCTTTCTCTTGAACCCGCTGATTGGAGGAACTATTTAAGGATGGATGAAACGTCTTATTTATTCATAATATTTAGTGTTCTATTGACCAAATTACTTCTTTCAATTATTTAAACTTTTTTGTAAGGTTTTGGTTGAAATGAAAAAGCTAGTGCCATGAGCGGGATCTGAATCCATGGCCTTCGGCTAAATAGGCCGCTGCTCTACCACTTGAGCTATCATGACTTCGATCCTCTCCGACTCCAAAAAATGGCAAAAAGAGAGAAAATTCAAAAGGTTGTAGGTTGAGATGGGGAGTTGGTGCCCGAGTGGATCGAACTATCGAAGTCAGGATAGCTCAAGTGGTTAGCACAGCGGCGTATTTAGCCAAATGTCGTGGATTCGAATCCCCTCGTGACACTATTTTTTCATTTCAACCTTACCAAAAAAAGATTAATGTCTTATTCATATTTACTCCAGCTTGTTACCCCCTTGATTAGAAAACAAAAGACAGTCATGAGAGAAATCATCACTCACAGTCATGGAACATTGACAGCCACATTACGATTTCTCGCTACAGGGATGAACTACAAAGAACTTAAGTTCTCTACTACGATTTCTGATCATTGTTAGGGGTTATCAATACCGCATCTCTCATTGCATTTGTATCCTTTGTTTTGAAAACGTTGACCAACTGGTTGAGGATCGAATTTCTTTTATTTCTATCATGGTAATATAATCATTGTCCACTACTTTCCATAACATGGTAAACTTTCAATCACCTCAACAATAAAATCTCGATTGGATGTCATTACCAATAAAGAATAAACGTTTTTGACTTTTTGAGAATGTATGACGGAGATGTTTGCTCAGTGACACAAAGACGGAGACTGCGCCAAAAAAACGAGGGTTTTCCCATTCACGACTAGGTCATTGCGCCATAATCCCCACCCTCCACACCAGGTTTTCCCATTCATGAACGTGCCATGCCGTCATCGCGCCGTAGATATTTGGAGTGGCGCGATGGAGTTTGGACCGGTCGAATATTCGGCACAGCAGCGTATGCCAGTTCAGTTTTGCCATTGATGTGGTTTTGGGGACGGCGTCGCTCTCTTTGGACTGCTAGGAGTGATCGTGAATGCCACCTTAAGGGAGCAAAACTGAATAATTGATTAAACGCTACAAACTTTTTTTTTTTTTTTTTTTAACTTATACAACCCAATAATTTATTCAACCTCTGTAATATGTATAAACAAAATATTTAAAAAAAAAATACCTGAGGTGAGGTGACTGGATCTAAAGAACTGCTAATCGATTTGCTGAGGTTAGTTGGTTCGCTGCTTCCGTCTCTTTTCATATAACTGAAGCTCCCATAATGATAATCTTTTGGCTGTAGATAAATAATATATTTTACAAAAATGTATAACATTAAAAATCTTTTTTTTTTAATATATACCTGTTTGAAATTGGCACTTGATTTTTTTAATAATAGCTCATCGACAATTGACTGAAGGCAAACAGCCATAAGAATGGCCTGTTCGCTCGTTATTGTGATCCACTGCAGGTTGTCTTTTGCGATCAGGTATTCGAAGGACAAATCCAGCTGAGGATCCCTTTGCAAAACTGTTTCTTCGTCGGTTTCAATAATATCCTGGGAAAAAAAGAAAAAAAAGCGTGCATAGAGGAAAATGTAAATAAAATATTTACTACCGAGGCTTACATTGTGCGTGATTATGCGCCAACACCTCATCCTGGTCACTTTGAAAGCGCGCTCCTTTATCTCACCTCCTGCAGCCTCGATTCGCAAATTTAACTCCCTCTGGCCAGCGCTGACAATCACCTTTGAATCCGGCGTCGGATAATCGCATATGCACTCTTTAAACTGTATGTACCCGTAGTATTTCAACGTCCTCGCAAGTTCCAAGTACTGAAAATCAAAACGTACAGTAAAATTTACAGCGTTTTAAACCAAAGGTAAAATTTACCTCTCTTTTTGCCCCCCTTGATTGTAATGTGGCCAACTGTTCACTAGTCTCTTTATTACACAGAATCCATCCCCTTTTAATATCTGATACTGTTTGAACATAGAGTAAATTCAAAGCGTATTTGTCATGCATCAATTCCAAATCGTATCCTGGATCCCAATAACTAAAAAAATTAATTAAAGATTTGTTATATGTTATAATTATTTTTTTATGAGGGTTTGCAACAGCAGAGGTCATATAAACCCTCAGGGTGCCGGTGTTTTTGAAAAAAAAGCCCAATTGTATGTCGGGTTCGAATGCAAGGCCGCTGGATTCAAGCCCGGGACCTTCACCTTACAGTGATGACCGCCGTGTCAATGCCTAAACCATTGCAGCCACTGACGCCCCCATTAAAGATTTATTATTTTACATTCTACTAGTGGCCTGTTGGGGGCTATAGTTAGAATCATGGAGCTATATGATTTATGAACGTGGTAAAACAGATTACATCTAGCAAGTCGATAGCAAGCAAACTGTAAAATTATTAGTCGTTCACGACAGTTTTGTTTTCTCGTGCTGTTATGAGTCTTTGGAATCCCACCCTTCACCACATGAATAGATCGGTGGGGTACAACATGGGATACACAATAAGGAGCAAGTATAAGAGGCTCATATGCAATAACGGCCACATTAGATCATAGATGATGAGGTATTATAGGACTGTCATAGGTGATAATGAGCCATTATGTGATGCTCAAAAGGAGTCATTACAGGATGCTCATAGGCGATAAGGAGCCATTATAGGACTTTCATAGGCAATAAGGAGCCATTAAGCCAGGAACACACTTACCCAATGCTACGCCATTCGACGCTACCCGATGCTACCCGACGCCTTGCCACGTTTTGGTGGGGTGTGCACATCTATCTGACGCAAACACACGTCGCGTACAGTCCACAGCGTTTATCACAATAATCACGATCACAATCGCAATGCATCTTTTGTTCTTAATGCACTATTTTGAGCAAAACCTTGTAATAAATTGTTAGTTAAATTTTATGAGCACAACCATCTAATAAATTGTTTGTTAAACTTAATTGTTTTAAATAAAGTTACTCCTAACCATCATAATTAAACAATGTTTGTAAAAACTTATGAATTTTTTATCTCGTTTAATTTGGTTTACATTAAAATAACATGTTGTAATTAATATAACGACAAAATTACATTATGCTACCTGACATTACAAAATGGTGTAATTTTACGAGCAAAACTATGAAATAAATTGTTAATTAAATTTTATGAGCAAAATCATGTAATAAATTGTTCCAATTTTAGTATATTACGCCAATAAATTGTTAGTTAAATTCATTATATCAAAAAATCCTATTCTGGTGTTTTGATTAATTTTCTACCAAACCATTAAAATTAATTTTTTAAATAAAAACTAATTAATTTTTAATCACAGTTAATTTGGTTTATATTAAAATAAGTATGTTGTAATTAATATAACGACAATAATACATGTAGTTAGAATAAAAATATGAGTGTCCGGTTCTTTTGTCTTCAACTGTACTCGATGCGACCCGACGAAAATCTGGACAATGGGGATCGCAGAGCGTCGGGTAGGTTAGCGTGGCATAACATCGGGTAGATGTGCACGGAGGTAATGCAACCTTATGGAAAATCGGAGTTTGGATTTGCATTGGGTAGCACCGGGTGTGTTTCTGGCTTTAGGATGTCATAGGAGATAAGGAGCAAATATACGAGGCTCATATGCAGTAAGTATAGGATGCTAATAGATAATGGGTCATTATAGATAGGACTGTGATGGGCGATAATGAGCCATTATATAATGCTATGAGCCATTACAGGATTTCATAGGAGACAAAGAGCAAGTACATTATGGTTATTATAGATAGGACTGTCATGGGCGATAATGAGCAATTATACAGTGCTATGGGGAACCATTATAGGATGCTCAAATGTGATAAGGGGCCATTAAAAAACTGTCAAAGGAGATAAAGAGCAAGTAAGTACATGATCGTCATAAGGATAATAGGATAATGGTGATTAGGAGCAACTATACAATGCCCATAGGCAATAAGTGGCCAGTATAGGATGATCTTAGATGATGTGCCATTATAAGACTGTCCTAATAAGCCTGCGATAATAAGCCATTATACAACGCTCATAAGGAGCCATTATAGGACTGTCATAGACAATAAGGAGCCATTAAGATGTCATAGGAGATAAGAAGGAAATATACGAGGCTCATAAGCAATAAGGGGTCAGTATAGGGATGCTCATGGCTGATCAGGAGCCATTATAAGACTGTCACAGGAGATAATGAGCCATTACAATGGTCTGTCACGGAGCGCCCTCGTGACAAGAGGACTGAGTCCACAATCGGAGGTACGGACAGGCGTGAAGTGGGGAAAGCACGATCTGAGAGATTAGGAGTGTTGCTCTGAAACTGGAAGGAAGAAATTCTTAACTCAAATCGCGGTTAGGCGTATTGATCGTTGTTGCCGTGTTTGAATGTTATTATTTCATTTTTTCCGCTCTGGAGAGCACTAATTTAGTAAATGTTTTTTTTCCCCTTTAATAAATTTAAATCCTTTTTAAAATCAGTAAATGTAATCTTAAATGTAAAACTGTTTCCGTTTCGATCCAGATGGATACCCTCTTTGGTTTTTCTTTTCCCGAGTTTGTTCAAAATAACCAATGATTGTTTAAATAATTTCTTTTAAAATTATTTATTATTAAAATTTGTGTATTCCCAGTCTTCCTCCTCAAAGAATCCTTATCTTTCCACAATAAAAAGGACAGGCAATTAATGTGACCAAACCACCTGGTCACAGGTCATACACCATAAGGAGCCATTACAGGATTTTTAAAGAGGATAAGGAGCAATTGGTCATAAGGAGCCAGTATTGGATGCTCATAAGTGAAAAGGGGCCAGTGTAGGACTCTCATAGGCGATGAGGAGCCATTCTAGGTCTGTCACAGAAAATAACAAGCCATTATGCAATGCTCATTATAGGCCTTAAGGAGTCAGTATAGGATGCGCATAGGTGATAAGAAGCCATTATAGGATGCTCACAGACAATGAACAACCATTATAGAACTATCATAGGTAATAACGAGCTAGTACATGCGGCTCATAAGCAATACGGGGACATAGTAGGGCTGTCATAAGCAAATGTGTGCCACATGTGATGTGCTATCTTTTAAAAGTTTGAATTTTATATTTTAAGAAAGTGAATGGTGGGTTCGATTTCTACTGTCACCCCTGGCCCTTTTTTCACCCCCCCCCCAACAAAAACACGCTTTAAAATATGTATATTACATTCTTCGGTTTATGGTGTTAGTGTGTTTTAGTTATCTTATCATTTAAAAAATGCCAACATATGTGCTGGGAGTGTTTCACTCCAGCTGGTGAAATTTCCTCACTTGAATGAAGAAAAGTCTTATTTCCAGTTAAAAAAATTTAGAATTAAATTGTGTTGAGTCATACAAGGTGAATCAGTAATTTTGATTCGTCATCAACTTACATAACACATCATATTTCGGAATATATCTTACGCAACCCACAAAATGTAAATTAATGTAACTTTGTTCATGGAAAAATACATTATTGATTTAAATCAGTCATGCCAATGAAAAGCTATTTGCTAGCTAGCTTAATTATTATTAAGAAAAAGACTATAAAACCTAAGAACACATGTTGAAATTGCATTTTTTTAAATTATATACATCTAGGGTTTGTTTTAGACCCTTGGCAACATTTGAGCTGATTATGAAATTTTAGCGTAGGAAGAAACTATGAAATTAAAAGTTTGTGAAATTACAAAAAAGTTTTCACTTTTTGATGAAAAACCATTACACAACTGCCCTAACCAAGCAAATGGTATTTAGAAATATCGAATGTAGATTACCTTTTTCTAATCATAATTTTTAAATTTTCTGAAATATTTTTTTGAGTCAAATATGGCGACTCGAAGTCTTGTAGTTTCCTAATAACTGAAAAGAAAATGAAAAAACAGTTTAATTATTCACGTTTAATTTTTAATTTTCATTTCCATACTTGAGAGTTCGCCATTTTCCTCCTTTTTGATTAAAAACAATGAAAAATAATACACATAGACACTTGGTAGATTTATTTGGCTGCAGGCATTCTGAAATTCAACAAAAATTATTTAAAAAATAAATACAAACGTTTCTATTGGAATCAAACGATATTACCTCCAAGACAGAGTTTGATCTATCATTAGAATTGGCATTGACAGTTATTTTAAAACCATTCAGCAAAAATACATCTATACTAACTCCCCGAGCTCTCTCTCCTGTTGATTCCTGCTGAGCAGCGAGCAAAAATCCATTGAAAAGCTCCTTGCATGGCGTCGAATAACTCTGGCCGACTAGGGAAAAACGATAAATTAATTTTAAACAAAAACCAAGGATAAGAATTACTACTGTAAAGAAATAAGTAATCTAATTGAGGGTCGAAGAGGTACTCAATATTCCACTAGCCCTTTCACACCACATTCACGCTTATAAATACATTCACTCTCAATATACACAAAAAACAAACAGAAAAAGAGATCGTTCAATAATTTTTTTTTTATACTCCGAACGTGGGATGTAATGACTCGCTGCCGTGCTCACGTACAATTTTCAAATCGAGTACAATATAAAGGGCCCACGGTGATCAGCTGTTTTCCTAGCTTGATTACCATTCCCAGTGTCATCCCGGACTTCCATAAGGGATAAAACAGCCAAAAAATTCTAGCCCTTTATTGCATTTTTCAGATAATTATAGTCCAATTTATACGAAATGAACAAAAGAAATTTTTTCCTTGAAAAGTTGAAACTCAAAGTTTCATAACAATCTAATCGAAAGTTTAAGATTTTTTCCTGTTTTATCACTTTTCCTGCAAATGCCCTATTTTAAGATATGTTGTCTTCCTCATTAGATAAGTTGTTGACAATTTTGCCATTTTAGTCAAACGCATCGTTTTATCTATTGATTTATTTTTATTATTTTTAATACATTTAATACAATAACAAATGGATTTGTCAAGACTAAAAAAGAACACAACACTCAAAAAGTATATAAATAACATTTGACATTTAAACAATATATTTTATCGTTTTTCTCAGTAATGATCTTATCTTAAGAAATCTCAGACATCCTCATTAGATACTCTCCTAGGAATTTGATAGAGGGAATTAATTTCATGTTTGAAAATGGTTTAAAAAAACAACAAAATGTGTGATTAACAAAATAGACTAATGAGTTGTCTTATAATAAAATTCATATAAGAATTAGTTTTGACGAATGACAAAAATTTCCTTTGAGATTTGGTGAAGTGACCAACTATTTTACTATCAATCTAGTTCTTCCTTTGAATAATTTTTATCACATATTTTTTATCCTTCACAAGATTAGGGTTTTGCCAGTGACAATCGTCAAAAAGTCAGATAAAAAAGAATAAGTCAAATCAGCGGATAGACATCTGAAGGAATAACAGACCAACTAAAATTTGCTCTTTCTATACGATATTTTTATTTCGAGCAATAAAAAAAACCAAGAAAGTAGATATCAAGTCAAATAAGTTGTAGAAGTAAAAATCCAACTGAACTAGAAGCTTACTGTATTATATATAATTTTTATCATAAGGGTTTTATTTATTTATTTTTATTTTTTATTTATTTATTTATTTTTTTTTGTGGAAACCAAGATTAGGATTATTGAACTAAATTAATATTATACCATATTTAGCCAAAATATTAAAACTTATTGTAGTAAAAGACCACTCGATGAGCAGTTTTTACCTTATGTCCTTGCTGATGTAATATGAGCACATCTTTAAATTCTGAAAATAGGCAGGAAACAACTTTTTATGAAGGTTAGAAAGCCCGAACTTCAATAAATAAAATTCCAAGGTGTGCACTCACCGATGTATTTACATCAAGTTAATAAAATAAATTTTCTATTCTTAGAATACTTGAATTTCCATAGGAATATTTAATTTATTTTATAACGGAGTAAAAGCTCATAATAAATAGTTTTTACATTTTTATTATATTAGACTTTTTTTCTTATTTTGCTTAAATTTTTTATTTATTATTTAATTTCTCATTGATAAAATATAACCATTCATGGATGAAAGATCACAAAGGAAAATTCCAAGGGAAAAATTTTAAATTGAACCAAATGGTCAGTGATAAACTAGCCGCAACTCTAACCCACTTGGCCATTATAGTCCATTATTAGATTAGAGCGAATAATCAAACATTTTCATTATGATAAATTAACAAGATATCAGCCAGATGTCCTCAGTGGAAATCACATCAACAAACTCTTCTTTTAAACATCCGTGCTTATATTATTTTCTAAAGAAATTAGATATTTTTATTTTATAATAATTATCGAAGGAAATATATTTGTATACATGATGCCAGGAATACAATTGAAGAAATATTTATTTATTTGTTTATTTTAAGAGGATTTGCAACAGCAGAGGTGATATCAACCCTAGGGCGGCTGCTGGCCTTTAAAAAAAACCTATTTTAAGTATGCAAAGTTCAAATGCAGGGCCGCTGGATTTGAACCCAGGACCTTTACCTTACAGCAATGAACACCATGCCAATGCTTAAACCATTGCAGCCACCTTCACCCCTAATAAAAAATTTTAGTTTATACAAGTGAATCTTATTTAATATGTGTGGTGATTAGTGACCGTTAATCGATATTTATTTAGAAATCGTGAGATGCGCTCTGGTGGAATGTAGGTTTCAGAAAAACATTTTCTTTATCGTGCCAACGTTTCGATCTTTATTGAGATCATCTTCAGGGCCTGGGATTTACAAACATTGTTTACATATTACAATTACATTTTGGATGTGGAAAAGTGAATTTATACAATGCAAAATATATTTTATATATTCAATCGAAGATAATTATTCAGATAATTAAATCTCTACACATTCAATCAAAGTATTTCATTTAATATCCAAAGTATATACGGTTTACAACCGTCTATCAGAGCTCTTTGCAATCTGCCATCAAACAAGGATTTCCTATATATATAATTTACTATACGACTCAAAAGAAAAGCAATACATATTAATGAAAAATACCTTAGGAGAATATTATTAAATGGAAGAAGTACGATAAAAATTAATTTATTTGTTGTGTCTTAATCTGAAACCACCATACTCATCACCCATAGCAAAGGATGGAACAGCACACAGTTAAAGACTGGGAATATATATTTGATCGGGATGACACCCTGGTCGACCCTGGTATTAAGGGCTAATCTTGCTGCAGATATCTTGCTTTTGTTCCACATCACAAGTCGGGGAGTGTGTACAACATCTAAAGCAGGAACACACCATGCAACACTACATGATGCTACCGGACACAAATCCAAAGTCCAATTTTCCATAAGATTGTATTACCCCCGTGCACATCTGCCTGATGCCACACAACGCTACCTTACTCTGTCTGCACACCCTACCAAAACGAGACAAGGCATTGGGTAGAATCGGGTAGCATCGCATAGTGTTGCATCAGTTAATTGTGTTCCCAGCTTAAATATTTATATTCATTGACTAATTCCCTTGGAAGTTCCACTTGTTACAACTCTTTAATCTTTTAATAGAACTCTTCCAGAATACTAATATTTTTGATGCTAGGATTTAGAAGGATATCAGTAATACTCAACTGAGTAATGGACCAAGGAGGTATAAATTCTCATAGGAGATAACAAGCCAACATAAGAAACCCATAAAAAATAAGGAGCCAGTATAAATACGCATAGGAGATAACGAACCAACAAGAAACACATAGGTAATAAAGAGCCAGCATAGGACACTCATAGGAGATAACAAGCCAACATAAGAAACCCATAGAAAATAAGGAGCCAGTATAGATACATATGGGAGATAAAGAGCCAACAAGAAACTCATAGGAGATAACAAGCCAACATAAGAAACCCATAGAAAATAAGGAGCCAACATAAGAAACCGATGGACAATAAGGAGCCAGTATAGGAGATAATGGGCCAATATGTAACACTTAGGCAATAGTATAGGATACTCGTAGGTGATAATGTACCAGTGCAGGACCTCAAAGGAGATAAGGAGCAAGTAAATATATGATGTTCATAGGCGATGCAGTGCCACTATAAGAATTCATATGTAATAAGTAAGAGCTTGTAAGCAATAAAGAGCCATTTTAGGATGGTCATAGGCAATAAGGAGCAAGTATAGGATGCTCATAGGTGATATGATGTCAGTATAGGATGGTCATAGGCTAACAGTACTTCTATAGGAATTCATAGGTAATAAGAAGCCCATTATCAGAAAGTTATAGGAGAAAAGCATTCATTATATGTTGTTCATAGGCAATAAGGAGCAAGTATAGGATGCTCATAGGTGTATGATGCTCCTAGGCGATAGAGTGCCACTATAATAATTCATAAGTAGTAATGAGCCCATTGTCAGATTGTTACAGGAGATAAGCAGCAAGTTTAAGCAGCTTATATGATTCTCATAGGCAATAAGGAGCCAGTATAGGATGTTCATAGATGTATGATACCAGTATAGGATGATCAGAGGTGATATGATGCCAGTATAGGATAGTCATAGGCAAACAGTACTACTATAGGAATTCGTAGGTAATAAGAAGCCCATTATCAGAAAGTCATAGGAGATAAGCATTCATTATATGCTGTTCATAGGTACTGTGGCACTATAGAAATGCATATGTAATAAGCCCATTATTAGAAAGTCATTGGAGATAAGCAATCATTAAGGTTGCCATTCATGATTGCTCCCAGCAGTCCAAACGGAGCACCGTTCCAAAAATCAGGTCAAAGGCAAAACTGAACTGGCATGCCAGGCTGTGCCAAATATTCGACAAGTCCAAACTCCATCGCGCCACTCCACGGAATGTTGCGTTCGTGAATGGGAAAACCTAGCGTGAATGGTGGAATATTGGCATGGTGGCTTAGTCGTGAATGGGAAAACTTGTGGTTTTTTTGGCGCAGTCTCCGTCTTTCTGTCACTGAGCAAACATCTCCGTCGTACATTCTCAAAAAGTCAAAAACGTTTATTCTTTATTGAGATTGTATTGTTGAGGTGATTGAATTGTATAAAAGTTTACCATGTTTATGGAAAGTAGTGGACAAATAAATAATTCCTCCAATCAGCGGGAACAAGGGAAAGATCTTTCATCAAATTGATGTGGGTATTACGGCTTCTGTTCAAGAGCCACTTCTTACACCATTTCTCTCTTCGGTTTTTTGCTTTTTATATTATAAACAAACAGTTTAGCTTAAGAGATTAAGTAGAAAAAGTAATTCACTAGATGACAATCGGAGCAACTGGCTATGGAGCGGTTGAGAATGCTCCCTTAAATTTCAGGCACTCCAAATGGAATTAGACGGCTCGGCGTGGTTCCATTTGGAGTGATCGTGAATGGCCACCTTTATATGTTGCTCATAGGTAATAATGAGCCAGTATGTTCATAGGTGGTAAGGAGCCAGGATAGGACACACATAGATATGGCTCCTGTTTAGAATGCCACTGTAGGAATTCATAGATAAAAAGTAGCCCCATATCAGACTATCACAGGCGATAAGTAGCCAGTTTAGGACGTTCGTAGGCAATAAGGAGCCGGTATATAAAGTTAATAAGTTATGGGGCTATGAAGTGGTAGAAAAACTTCCTTGTTTTTTTATTAAGAAGTTGTTTGGCGCTCCCACCACACCGTTATTTTCTTTATTTGGAAATAGGCTTTAGACCTTTGTTTGTGTATACATTGAGGAGTCATATAAATTATATACAGCGGGTTTTGGGTCTGAAACAAGATCGTTTGCCCTTACCTCCTTGCACAGGAGATAATTAAAAACAACATTTTTTGTTTTAAAGAACTGGAAGTGTTGTCTTCCGGATTGAACTGTAGTTCTCGTATAAATTTTACAGATGCAAAAGATTTCAAAATTTGGGCAGTACAATTATTGCAGGCAGTAGAAACTCATCATAAAGAAGAATGTTTAAGAAAAGTGATGTTCTAGTTACCATTTAATATACAAGGAATTGTATTTCGATCTTGGAGACAACAATTACTTGTACAAGGAAGACAACTGGAATTTGATCAAGGTTGTTTTTTGCACGAGAGGTCAATTATTACATTTAAATTTTAGGCCTTGGTTGGAGAAAAGAGACCAAGCATGTCATATCTGTAAACTAAAAACAGTGGAAGATTTGTTTATTTTTTGGCAGTTTGTCCAACTTCGGAAAACGGATTAATTTGGTTCCACAGATGTCGTTTGACATTCCGTGAGTATATAGACCTTTTAAATGGGAAAGATTGGTTTAGTTTGTATGGATATATTATAGATGCACTGAATTGCAGAGATAATTTTATGTTAAGTTTATAATTTGTATGTTAATTTAAGTTTTATTTAAGTGTAAATATATAAGGGTCAACTTAAGAGCACCCCCAATGATGTCATCAAAGCTGAATGTAACTATCAGCCACTGTCACATAGAAGAAAAAACTGGCAGGACGGTTTGTGTTGCGCCAAATGGTGAAAAAAACATCTCTAGCTCAGCACATCTGTGATTTGTCCATAATGAATCTAACAAAAAAATATTGGCAAAAGAGAAAACCTCCACCGTTTACCACGAGTTTTACCTCTCTGGGAAAATATCAAGAAAAAATCGAACAAAGAGATACCCTTCCAATTTTCTCTACAGAGCTTAATTAGAAACCCCCTTATGTGCTATGTACTAAAAGACTACTCCGGACAAAATCCCGTAGCAGTTAATCAACAAGTGCTTGCTGATCTTCAGGAACTTTTCCCTAAGGACCGCTTAACTGTTTACACCGATGGATCCCTCATGTCTGGTAAGGTTGGATGCTCCTGGTTCTGCCCTAGCATCAATAAAGGGGAATCAATTCCCCTGCTGGCAGAGATATCAATTTATTCGGCGGAATATTAGCAATTAAGGCAGCGCTAACTTTTTTTACATTCAACCTTCCTACAACGAATCACATTATAATTTGCACAGACAGCCTCAGTGCAATCCAGTCTTGCAAAACACATTTACTAACATTAAGAATTATATTGTAGCTGACATAAAAAAGATAACTTTTCCACTTTTAAAAAAAAGGTCTCTTTCATGTGGATTAAAGGACATACGGGCATCTACGGCGACGAAAAAGCCGACAAACTTGCAAAAAATGCCACACAGTTACTCACCCCTAGAATCATAAGGATTCCTTATACAGACCTTTTTCAAATATTGGAAACATGAATTCAAATAGAATGGCAAACTGAATACTCTGCCTCAGATAAGGGAATGGCTTATAAAACATTATTTCCACTTGTGAAAACAATACCGTGGTTTAACAACCAGACATGGCAAAAAAAGACAACCACCATACATCGGTTAAGAACAAACCATGGCATCTGCGCAGCGTATCTTCACAAGATCGGCACAAAACAATTGTGACACATGCGGAGTAAAGGAGGACCTAATGCACATGTTTCACTACATCCAACATTCGTCAGCCAGAAATAAATTCTACCAGGATCTGGAGAAAGGAGTAAAACACCCAACTACGGAAAGTAGAGCTCTATTCAAGAATCCCAGCGTGTATAACTTGATAATAAAATTTTTAAATGATGTGTCTATGAAAATATAACGTGGAGTGTTTAAATTGTATATATTCTTTGTAACATGGCTGTATAATGTTTTGATGCCAAAATAAAAAATTTAAAAAAGGGACAACTCGCAGACGATTAGTTCATGCCATTAGAAGTATTATTTTGTAAAAAAAAATGTAATATTTTGTTATCTTTTCTAAATATACTTTTATAAATAAAAAAATGTATATATAAGTTAATAGGAGATGGGAAATATGATACTCATAGTCAGTAAGGAGCTGGTATAGGATTCGCATAGGCGATATAAAGAGCCATTATATGAAGCTCAAAGAGATAAGAAGCCACTTTGACCATGTTGAACTGGCACTGGGTCCATCTACAATCACAGATGTTGTATACTTAGTTTTATTGTACATAACTTTAAGAAATGTAGCTTGACTGGCTATGGTGATCGTGGCTGTTGGTCTGCCACCATTCCTAACCAACAGACTCGCAGACGCACTATCAACCTTCATTCTATTACCCGCAGACTCTTTTTAATATATTTTTTTCTTTGAGAGATGGTTTCATTTTGTGCTTGTGTAAAATAAAAACTTCGTAATTACCAGCTTGAATGTATTTTTCTAGCTGCGACCTCCTCTCCTCCAGTTGGTTCGGTGTAAGGGGCCAGTATTTTTTGGAAGGAAAAGGAGGAAAATTTTCATCCTCGCTGATCCGCTTGAGCTGTTCGCAGAGGTTGTAAAGTTGTTTGTACCTGACAGTGCAGTGGTACTCGCCGTTGATGTGGATGTGGAAGCCCTGAGCATAAAACAAATCAGTCATAAGGAGAAGTTGGGACGAAAACGATGCGACTTACGGTGTAAGTGCCACCTTGCCCGTTGCACTCCTCGGTCGAAGGGATGGAAAAGTGCATCTCAGGAAGGAAACGAGTTGTCAGTGGTAAATAAGAAAAAAACTCAGCCCGTCTCGAGCATAATACGCTTCCCCGGGTCGTCCTGGAAGTCGGGAGGCAATCAATCCACGGGGAGCCTCATTATTGTGACCCAGAGTCGGGGATACTTAAACCACAGCTGGATCCTGTCAGAAGCACCAATGTAACTGAAAGCCACAAAACTTCCCCATGACAATTCTCTCGACTTTAATATTTTAATATCACAATATTTAAATCACTTATTACTATGATAAAATGAAACTTTACAAAAAAAATTCAATGATTTTGTACAATAATTCATTGTTTAGAACTTATTGATGATGTTCCTCAACAATTCTCTTCCAATTTTTTCCTTACCAATTTTTCCAGCTTTTTACCGTTACAAAAACTAATTTTTATTACATAAATAAAGCTAATATAAATTAATAAACATAACTATACGTAGTAAATATATTTTTAAGGATAAACAACAACGAATTCAGTAAAGCATGATGTCATTTACCATCCTCTTCCAATTTTTTCCTTACCAAATTTTCTAGCTTTTTACCGTTACAAAAACTAATTTTTATTACATAAATAAAGCTAATATAAATTAATTATAAAAAGATAAACAACAGCATGATTGACAAGAAATTATGTAAAGAATGTCACCCTAGGCAATCTTCCAGTTTTTTCTTACCTTGTTACCTCTAAAAAACTAATTTTTATTGCATAAATAAAGCTAATATAAATGATTAAACATAAATATATGTTATAAATATATTTTTAAGGTTAAAAATCTTGAATAACAATAATGCAATGAATATTGTGCTTGACATCCCTATTTTCATTACTTTTTCATATTGGTGCTAGTTTTTAGAATAGAAAATATTTAAAATATTATGATTAACTTGAATTAGCATTATTAATGTTGCAATTTAAATTTCTCATAAGAATAAAATTTTCACATTCAATTTTTTTTTTTTTTTTCGGTTTGCAATATCAGAGTTTAAATTAACTCTCGAGATGCCAGTGGTTTTGAAAAAAAAAAAAAAAAAGCCCATTTGTATGTCATGTTCGAAGACAAGGGCCGCTGGATTCAAACCCAGGACCTTTACAGTGATGTGCACCGTGTCATTGTTGTAGCCGACATTAATCATTAATTAATCTTTTTATGTAAGGTTTTGGTTGAAATGAAAAGTTACTGACACGAGCGGGATTCGAACCCTTGACCTTCGGTTTAATATGCTGCTCCTCTAACCACTTTAGCTATCATGACAAGTGGTTAGAGCAGCCTTGTATTGAGCCAAAGGTCATGGGTTCGAATCCTGCTCGTGACACTAACTTTTTCATTTCAATTAATACCTTGCATAAAAATAAAAAATGAAACTACCAAACTACAAACTACAACAGTGTTACTTATTTAAAATTTTTTTGACCAGATCAAATTTGTAGAAACGATTTGAAATTTAAATTTTGACCTTTCCTCTGGTTGAAAAAAAGGGATCAGAATTTCCCCTTATATAATTCATATAAATATGATATATATATTATACATTATATTTTATAATTAAACCTGTTAAAAAATAAAAACTTCAGTTTATTTAAAATAAATGTTTGTTAGAGTGGGCTGTTTTGAATGCGAAACTTGTAATTACTAAAACAAATGTAAACATATAATTAATTTATATGCTTACATTTATAATTAATTAATTTTATATTGTTTTTATTATGTAGATAAAAAAGAAGTTTATTATTTAGTTAGTTTATGAAATGATGATTTAAATATATTTTTTGTCAAGATTTCATTTTTTTCAGAATATGCGGATGGAAGAATATTTTGTGAAAATATAAAAAACAATGAAACTACAACAGTGTTAACTTATTTAAAAATTTTTTGACCAGTTCAAATTTGTAGAAACGATTTGAAATTTAAATTTTGACCTTTCCCCTGGTTGAAAAAAAGGGATCAGAATTTCCACTTATATAATTCATATAAATATGATATATATATTATACATTATATTTTATAATTAAACCTGTTAAAAAATAAAAACTTCAGTTTATTTAAAATAAATGTTTGTTAGAGTGGGCTGTTTTGAATGCGAAACTTGTAATTACTAAAACAAATGTAAACATATAATTAATTTATGTAAGGTTTATGCTTACATTTATAATTAATTAATTTTATATTGTTTTTATTGTGTAGATAATAAAGTAGTTTATTATTTTGTTAGTTTATGAAATAATGGTTTAAATATATTTTTGTCAAAATTTCATTTTTTTCAGAATATGCGGATTGAAGAATATTTTGTGAAAATATAAAAAACAATGAAACTACAACAGTGTTAACTTATTTAATTTTTTTTGACCAGATCAAATTTGTAGAAATGATTTGAAATTTAAATTTTGACCTTTCCCCTGGTTATAAAAAAAGGGGATCAGAATTTCCCCTCGGTCATCCCTTGCTTTCAACCGTGGCCGGTCGAAACCTCAACCCGTCCAGGGGAACATGTTTTAGGGCTGGGGGTTGAAATTGTCTCCTTTCCCTTTTACTTTTTCCAAAATCGTAAAATGTATTTTTCAGGGTTTTTTCTTGGGGTTTTCCTCATTTTCCTGTCCTCCGCACCAGGAGGATTTTCAGACGACATCCTCGGCTGCAACGGTTTCGTTAAAAGCCATGTAGATATTAATTACTCACTGGTGGAAATTAAGTTGTAAGTAAACTTTTATTACAATCATTACATTCACTTAAAAAATATATTTTATTAGTTCCTTTTTTTAAACGAAAAACTAGGTATAAAAATGATTTGAAGCTTCAGAATCAAGCAGAAATGAGATTTTGAACAATAAATATCAAACATGCAGTAAAATTGATCTAACAAAGCAATTTAAAAAAAAAATTTATTTGCTGATTATTAATCCTTTAACATACGATTTATATAAACCAATATAAAATGTAACATAAGCCAAGAACAAAAAATATATAAACAACGTAACCGTGCAAAGTACAAAACAAATTACAGGCTTATAAGCAAAATATAAAATATAAATATACTTCTCAGAAAGATTAACAGGTAAATTGAAATATTTCTTTTTTAGGAACATAATGTTAATAACAGTTTTCTTTTAAAAGCTAATCTAGATAAACTAAAAATACTTGGTCCCCATTGTTTCTTTCGAAGAGCACTTTTCAGCTTTTTAAAATTTTTGCAATTAATTAGTCTTTAATTAAGGTTTTGGTTGAGATAAAAAAGCTAGCGCCACGAATGGGATTCGAAACTTTTTTTTGCACGAGTTTTCGATAAATTAAAGGTTTTTTTTCTTGTATAGGATCCAGAGTAGAAAACGGAATTGAGGTGTGATGGTGATGGAATTATAGGTAGAGTATAAATTATAAAGAGGATTGGACCAAAAATGTTCCCTTGTAGCCAGTTTGTACATTCGGTAGCAGTTAAACCTCAAGCGGTATTGAAGATGAAAGAACACACATGCCTATAGGTTCATCGTAAATTAAGAAACCAAATTCAATATAATACAATTAATTAAGGTTTTTAGTTGAGATAAAAAAGTCAATGCGTGAGTGGGATTCGAACCCATGATCTTTGGCTAGATACGCAGTTGCTCTACCACTTGAGCTATCATGACCTCGATCCACTTGGACACCAATTTCCCATATCAATCCCACCTTTTGAATTTTCCCTCCTTTTTGGCATTTTTCAAATGTCGTGTAATCTATTTGATTATCGGCGAGAAATGAAATGGCCACAGAGAGCTTTTAGTGAAGTATACTTCATTTTAATTCATTAAGTTCACTATTTTTCGTGGTCCGCTTGACCAATTAATATCTTTCAATTAATTAAGGTTTTTAGTTGAGATAAAAAAGTCAGTGTCACGAGCGGGATTCGAACCCATGATCTTCGGCTAGATACGCCGCCGCTCTACCACTTGAGCTATCCTGACTTCGATCCACTTGGACACTAACTTCCCATCTCAACCCCAGCTTTCGAATTTTCCCTCCTTTTTGCCATTTTTCAAATGTCGTGTAATCTATTTGATTCTCGGCGACAAATGAAATGGCCACAGAGAGCTTTAGTAAAGATATACTTCATTTTGCTTATTACATCTATTTCCACAAAGTCACGATAGCTCAAGTGGTAGAGCAGCGGCGTATTTAGCCAAAGGTCTTGGGTTCGAATCCCGTTCGTGACACTGACTTCTTTATCTCATCCAAGACCATAGAAAGAATAATTAATAGATTGAAAGAACTAACTTTGTCAATTGACTACGAAAATGTAAATGGATTTATATTAATATATTTTAAATATAGAGGGGGACCAAACTGGGGAACAAAATACAAGATGCAGTCTAACCAAGGATGTTTTGTCGGGTTTGTTTAGTGATCATTTTATCAGTGTTTAATTTATGTCACTCCCTTTTTTCTCCTATTATGGAAAAGACAATTTATTTCCTACCCATCATCTTATGTCACTCCTACCAAAAAACCTTATATAATACTTATTTCTGTATAATTACTACAGAAACATTCCGGTAGAAAATAAATCAGTAAACATAAAGTGCCATGGCTTACAAAATTTATTTATTTATTTATTTATCTTGGACATTATAATAGATGAAAGTTTAGGTGTTGAGCTGTAAGTAGACCAGACCCATAACTCCAGAAAAAAATCTACTGGAGCTATTGAGTTAAAAAATGTTTCCTTCATTTCAATATTTTTACCAACGTGTACTAATGATGATTTAAATTAATCATCAAACATGAAATGCCATGGAAACAGACCTTTCTATTGATGAAGTTGTTTTTTATTTACCAAGGGGACTGCAGTGGCTAGCAGTCCTAGGTTCAAATTTCAGCATACCCTTGGAATTTTCCTGATTTTGTTTTGTTTATTTATTTTTAATTTATTTTTATTTTTTTTTATCTCGGATATTATATAATAGATGAAAGTTTAGGTGCATTAGGTGCAAGTTGGCCCAAGACTCTTAAAAAAATAAATAAATAAATAAAATAAAATCTACCAAAGCTATTGAACTAAAAAATGTTTCTTTTGCCATTTCAATATTTTTACCAAAGTGTGCTAATGATGATTCAAAGGCGAATATTATAAATTTTACTCCTGTTCTGGTCGAGTTTGTTTTCTCCCTTGGCGGTTGAGCAATTTTAGATTAATTGAAATTTAATCTGAAGCACATTTAAGCATTAAATTCTTTAATGCTGTTGATACATAAAAATTTGTATTTTTATAACACAACAAATTAATTTTTGAAATTTGGTGGTTACCGATCATTTTGGTCTGCCTATTCTCGCTGGGTTGGTCTGTAAGACACACTGAAGATGGCGAAATTCTGAAACGTATCAGGCCATATTCTCATTTTATGACATTCCCCAGGTTTTGGGTGTGTTCAGAGATCATTTTGTCAGTGTTTAATTTGCGTTAATCCCACCCAAAATCCTTATTTAATGCCTTTTTCAGAATGCTGCAGAAACAGAAATGTTCCAGTAGAAAATAAGTCATTGAACATAAAGTGCCATTGATATCGATCTTGCGATGATGTTGTGTTTCTTGTCTATCAATGGAACCGCAGTGGCTAGCGGTTCTGGGTTCAAATTGCAGCATACCCTTGGATTTTTTTTCTTTTTTTGCTCAGTCATTACAATAGATGAAAGTTTAGGTACATTGAGGTGTAAGTTGACCCATGATTCCAGGAAAAAAAATCTACCAATGCATTTCCTATTTGTATTGAGTTAATAAATGTTTCTCTCGTTATTTCAATATTTTTGCCAAAGTGTGCTAATGATGATTCAAAGGCGAATATTATAAATTTTGCTCCTGTTCTGGTTGAGATTGTTTTCTCCCTTGGCAGTTGAGCGATTTTAAATGAATTAAAAATTAATCTGAAGCACATTTAAGCATTTATTTCTTTAGGGCTGTTGATACATAAAAATCTGTATTTTTATAACAGAACAAATACATTTTTGAAATTTGGTGTTACCAATCATTCTAGGCTGGTTATTCTCGCTGGGTTGGTCTGTAAGACACTTTTCGGCATTTTGCCATATTCAGTGAGTCTGATAGACCAACCCAGTGAGGACAGGTAGATCAAAATGAGCGGAAATCACTCAATTTTTAAAAATTTTTTGGAAACGCTGAAAAAAAATTGCTTTATTCAGGTTCATTTTTTATTTTATAATTAGATCTTATTTATAATTACCATTTTCAGGTTTACAAAACAAGGTAGCCTTAAAGATCATACGGATTGTGCACCCAACAACGGTTACTATTTTTTACCAATTTACGATAAAGGAGAGTACGTATTGAAAATTTCTCCTCCCGACGGCTGGTATTTCGAACCGTCTGAAGTGCCAGTGACAATCGATGGGGCCACTGATCCTTGCAGTACTGGTAAAGACATAAATTTTACCTTTAAAGGTTTTGCTATAATTGGACAGGTAAAGGAATGAATTTCACAAGGTTAATTTTTTATAAATTTAATTCGTTTTATTATCTAGGTTGTTAGCTGGGGGCATAAAGTCGGCCCAGTTGGCGTTACAGTTGAGCTCTTCAGCAATTCTTCTAATTCTCCTACTTCATTAATTCAAACGACAACTACTAGAGAAGGTGGTGAATTTAGATTTTCACCCATCACCTCTGGAAAATATAAAATAAAAATTTCACACCCAAGGTATTTATTCTTCTTTAAAAAAAGAAAAGAAAAGAAAAAAATATTAAATATGGTTTTCGATTAGATGGAAAGTGAAAGCAAAGGAAGTTGACATTGAAGTAAATAATAGTAATGGTTTAGTAAAAGCAAATAGTTTAGCAATCGCTGGTTATGATGTTTTGGGACGAGTGACGAGCGATGGTCAGCCTATCACAGGAGTCAGTTTTGTTCTCTTTTCCAAAGAAAAAAATGTAAGTCTTTCTAATATAATTTTTTAAAAAATATAATAGATTATAACGGATTTTAGCTTTCCGTCGATGGATGTGAAACATCCACCCTTCCTGGATTCACGGGAGACGGCCTTTCCCTTGAAGGATTGTCATACGTTTGCCATGTATTGTCAAATGACAAAGGGATTTTTACTTTTCCACAACTCTCCCCTGGCTCCTATGTCCTCGTTCCACATTACAAAGGTTCGAAAAGCACAAAGTTCGACGTCCATCCACGCACTTTGCCTTTTGCTTTGGAACATGGCAGCGTTGAACTTCCTGTCACATTTCAAGTAAGTTATTACTTTTTTTTTTTTTAAATGAAATATTTATTTTGTTATGTAAATAGGTCAAAGGCTTTACTGTAAGTGGAAGGGTTTTATGGGGTCCTGACGGAAAGCCCATGAGCGGGGCCAAGGTGTCACTAAACGGTAAAGTTGTTTTTCAAACTTCTGCAGATGGCGTGTACAACTTGGAAAGCATGAGGGCTGGCACTTATAAAATTAATGTACAAGCGCGTATGTCGATTTTAACTAGATTTCTTTATTATTTTGTGTATTGTAATGTACTTTTGGGAATAAAACGTTTCAGCGAATGTTGTTTTCGAGGAGAAGGAAATCAAAGTTTCATCTACAATGTTGCCTGATCTGTTTCCGAAAAGCTACCAGGTGTGTGGCAACCTGCATTCTCCGACTAGTTCCGGCCCATACAACGTAGACGTTGTATCTGAATCTGGTGTGAAAACAGCGATTTCTACTGATTCCAAGGGCAGCTATTGTTTGTTTTTAACACCGGGGAAATACACCTTTTCACCGGTGATCGGACGTGCTCAAATCAATCACGGGCTCATGTAAGTAAATCTTAAGATGTCTCTTTCTTCTGTTCCAGGATTATCTTCCTCAATGGGATAGAGTGGTCTTACACAGGAAAAAAGATTTAATTTAAAAAAAAACACAAAAAACTCCAGTTTAACCTTTTTGGAACTTTAAGATGCTAAAATGTGTTTCTCTCCTTACATTCTTGGCACTACATATTTATAAGAAATAAATAAAAATAAGGTCAACGAAAACAAAAATATATTTAAAAAAAATACTGTTAGCGTAAATGACGTAAAATTAAAACTGATGGCACTTGGTAGACAAGAGGCAAAAAACTAGAAAGACAGTAGGATAAATGGTATGGAAAGGGCAGGGGTGAGAGGTAGGGCATATCCAATAAGACACAGAAGTATTGTGGCTGAATGTTTTTCCAGAAAAATAATTGTGTCACAATTTTGCAAAAGTTTGTGGAAAGGCCAGATTGTTAACAGTTGGGGGAGAAAAGAGTGCTGATGATGAGGACGGGAAAAGAAAGGTGTGGGAGTGTCTATTTACTACCGATTTTGTCCAGCTAGAACTCTTAAAATGCAAAAAAAAGTTAACGAGTGGCAGTCAGATTTATAGTCACAGGGTCATAGATCTAGGAGGCGGTGGATTGCTGAAGGCCCTTCTGACATCAAATTCTTCTGGAGGACAACCTCTGGACTTAGGTGATTGATCTCACTGGTGGACTTAAACTAAGTATTCTGAATGTAGAGCTGTATGGCTGAACTCAGAATCTTCAACTCCCTGACTCACCGATTCCAACTCTCTCAGACTGACTCTCAATGTCTCTCCCCAGAGTATAGGCCAGACTTTATACCCTAACTCAACTAGGAGCAACTTTGGGTTGCGAACCTTGGATGGCATGGACCCAGGTGTTTGACGACAATGCTGTGAACACGACCTGAGATGGCGAGACCTCACCTCATGAGCTCAAGATCAAGTGGCTGTTTATGATGCCATGGACCCTGGACACTAGCTGGCTTGGCTTATTGTGCTACCAAACTAAAATATTGTTTTATTTTTCATTATGATCAAATTGTTGCAGGTTTTCTCCAGCATCTAGGGAAGTTGTTGTTTCTGATAACGTCTTAAACAATATCAATTTTTCTCAACTTAAATGTACAGTAAAGGGGAAAATAGTCTGCATGTCTGTTTGCCCTCTTATAACTATTAACTTAAAGCCTAAAAGTGTAGGAGGAGCACTTCAAACTATTGCCAAAGGTTGTTAATTAAGTTTAAAAAAAATTAAAAATTAATTTTTACTATTAATAAATATTTATTAGGTGGTGTTTATGAGTTCACTGATGTAATGCCTGGTGATTATGATGTTTATATTGAACCTGGGCTTGGATGGTGTTGGGACAAAGAATCTTTATCCCTTAATGTTTTCGATGAGACTACTGTAGTGCCAACGTTCACACAGTCCGGTTTCACCGTGACTATTATATCTTCTCATAGCACAAAAGTATTTTAAAACATTTTATCTTTACAGTACTTTGTTTATTTTATTTTCAAAATTTCCTTTGTAGGTTGTTTATTATAGTGAGAGTGATTCAAAAGACAAACAGGATTTGAATGTAGGACCGGGAAGTACTCATATATGTGTGCCGAAAGCTACGCCGTATATTTTCGAACCGGTCGGTTGCCACGGTTATGAAGAACCGAGAGTCAAATGGATTACGGGAAGCGTATCTCTTACGGCTATCAACCATGCCAATACTTTTTACATCGAGTCGACTGATGTAATAGACGACCTTGTTTTAGAAGTTTTCTCTGAAAACAAATTGATTAATAAGTACTTGCAAATCTTAATATATTTTTTTACAATTTGTATTTATAATTTTTTAATTTTATCAGGGTTGTGCCGAAAGTGAGCACAAGAGGTAAAGACAGTGTAAAGTATGAAACTACCCTGCAATTAAAAGAAGATGAAGTTGTTACGCTTGTCGCTAAAGCAGGGTTGTTTTTATTCAACCCGCTTTCGTATAAGCTCAAAGGAGGCGCGGATTGCGTAAATACAACTCATCCCGTCTTTACGGCTGAAAAGGGACAAGTTATTAAAGGTACGCAGGGATAAATGTGAAGCGCAGCTATTTCAAACGTTTTATTTCCAGGAAAAATCACGACAGGGAAGAATAAAGGTTTAGGGGATGTAGTTGTCCAAATAACGGATGAATCTGGCGAAGTAATCGCCACGCAAAAATCGTCCGGAGATGGAACATACATTTTCCCTCCGATTAAAATTGTGCCTAATTTTAAGTATGTTTTTTTTACAATCATAACTTTTGAAATATGGTTAAGCCAACAACATAATTTATATTTTTTTTAGGATAATTCCTGAAAAAGAAGGCTATGTTTTAACAGCGCTTGAAAAACTAGGAGATTTCAGTGCTCATAAATTAGCAGAAATTATTGTAAAAGTCAAAGATGCAAATACTAGTGAATTTCTTCAAGTAAATATTTGACTAAAAACGTTAAAATTTGTATCGGTTGTAATTTTCTTGTTATGTTTTTTCAGGGAGTTCTTTTATCATTGTCCGGTGGTGAAAGTTATAGAAGAAACGCCCAGACGAATGTCAACGGTACGATGTCTTTCTTGTCGTTAAGCCCCGGCGAATATTTCCTCAGGCCTATGATGAAGGAATACAAATTCCATCCGACAAGTAAAATGATTAAAGTTAACGAAGGCTCGACAGTAGAGATTTCTTTAAGGTAAAGATTTATTTTTGTTTCGATATTTAAATCTCTACACGAGGTGTTTTTTCAGTGGGGAACGGGTCGCATACAGCGGCATAGGCGAGGTGACATCGCTGAATGGAGAAGGCGAATCTGGAGTCGTCGTTGAAGCGATTGGGCTTGGAAGTTGCAATCTTTTACAAGAAGAAGCTACTTCAGGTGATGTTGGTGTGTTCCGGATCCGAGGATTAAAACCAAAGGTATGCACCACAAAAAATAACAATTAAAAAAAAAAAAAAATAGAATTGATAAATGATGGAGTGAGCGTGGTATCCAATCCTTTTTAAAAAGATAGTTCCTACTCACAGTAAGTTGTTTTGGAACGATCCGGATTTCGAGCCTTTTAGCTCATCATCAGGTTGAAGGACTTCTACAACCACGTCTCTCGACATGAATTGCCAAAGTGAACCCGCTGATACCTCCGCCAACGCGACGTTCCAATTAGCAGCTGATTTTTTTAATGGCGTTCAATTTGAACGTGCGAAACGTGGAAATTATAACACAAATAAATATTATACTAGTAATTACTTAATATTATTAAATTACTATAAAAATAATAACAATTAAAATAATTAGTTTAATTATTTGGATGTTTGATATTATTTATGTACATATTTATGGGAATATGGGAGGTATATTGGGATACCTGGGATATATAATGGGAGATAGATCAAAATCTGTTATATTATTAATGCATTTATCACCATGTTCAATTTTATATTTTTTAATTTCAAATTAAAAGTAAGAGTAAAAGAACATTCGCCTAAATCGAGCAAATTTTTGGAATTTAAGGACCATCTAAAAGAAACAAAACATAATTTCAATTCAAATCTAAATACAAGAGTGTTACGTAGTTTCAACAAAGGGAAAGAATTAGATCGGTTTGAGAAATTTGAAATTAAAAAAATGTAAAATTGAACATGGTGATAAATGCATTAATAATATAACAGATTTTGATCTACCTCCCATTTTAAATATGTACATAAATAATATCAAACATCCAAATAATTGTTATTATTTTTATAGTAATTTAATAATATTAATAATTTAATATACTAATATTAAGTAATTACTAGTATAATATTTATTTGTGTTATAATTTCCGCGTTTCGCACGTTCAAATTGAGCGCCATTAAGAAAAAAAAAAAAAAAAAAAAACGTGGTTGTAGAAGTCCTTCAATCTGATGATGAGCTAAAAGGCTCGAAATCTGGATCGTTGCAAAACAACTTACTGTGAGTAGGAACTATCTTTTTAAAAAGGATTTTAAAAAAAATTCAAACCAGAATACATCCGATAAAGAAGACTTGGAGAAAATGATCCAATGCTGACTATATCTATATAGATAGCTCTAAGAGCTAGTATGAGCAGAAATGGTATTTATGGTAATAAACAAAGGTCCTAGAATTCATTTAACATGTTCAGGCGACTCGGCTGTTTTGACCTGTGCCAGATATGATCTAGTAATTGATAATCTTAATACTCAAATGAAAGGACTGGTATGCCAATGTATTATTTTATTATTTTAATTTTATTTTTTTAGTGCAAATATAATGTAAGAGTGAAACAAGACGTTGATGTAAACCACCATATTCACACATCTATGCCTGATAATATCACAATTGAGGTAAGAGAATTTTTTTCGTGCTATCACGTTCACTGCGGGACCTATTTTGTTTGCTTTGTTAGACAGTTATTTTTTAAGACCTTGACTTGAGCCAGAGAGGCGTCATCCACATTGATTATCTTTAGATACTCATAAGGGGGCGTCAGTGGTTGCAACGGTTAAGGCGTTGATATGGTGCTCCTCCTAGCCTATGACATAAATAGCGGTTTTGACCGAAGCGTTTACTGAGAAGAAAACCGAGCCAGTGGGTCATTTCTTTGTTGAGAGTGGGACATGATAGATGGTGCGGTGCGTACCGTTTTGAAAGCGTTTTTCGTGAAATGGTTGTGGAGTATTCCATCAGCTGTGTCACTTGTGTCTGTTTGGCATCCAACTACGTTTAAACCATCTTTTTTCGAGTTTTTAAATTTTTTTAAATCTTCATGATTCCTGTTTTTCGTTTTTCTTTTGGGACAGCAGAAGTACTTCTTCTTCATCTGTTGCACTAATAAACAAACAATAATAAAATATAGTGCACTATGTGAGGTGTTTAGTGACCGTTAGTTAATGATTATTTGGAAATCGTGAGATGCGTCTGGTGTGATGTAGGTTTTAGAATAACATTTTCTTTATTTTGCCAACGTTTCCATCTTAATTGAGATCTTTTTTTTACCCTTTCCACCACCCCGCCGTACCTGAGGAAGACCCCATACCGGCGGACAAACGCTTTAACTTAATCAAATTTATATATCTAAGGGACTTCAAATAAATGGGCTAAAATTACCTCCCAACTTTCTTTCCTTAAGGTGAGACTGCTGGTAGGTTTTTGAAGGAACAATATTTTCATTTTGAAACCTAAAACAAATGGTCTTCCCTTGCTGGTTTCCCCTTGCACATTTATATTTTCTTGATTTTCTTTTCTATATATTTATATTATCTAAAAATTTTCTTACTAAGAAGAGGAAAACAGCCCGGAACCTTAAATCTAAACCTATGTTTAATTATGCAATAAATAAATAATGGTAAAAAGCTCTAACAATAACAACAACATTTAGGACTTAGTAATCAGAATAAATAGGGACTTGTTCATTTTAGCGTAGTTGAGGCAAAGTCTTTTAGTGCTGTAAATGATTTGCTATCACAGACTAGTTTATGGAGATTAGGTGGCCATTCTCTTGAGGTCTTTCGCAAACGTTCTCTTTCTGCATTGAATTTGGTAAAGCTGAAGAGTTCTAATTCTAATATAATAGAATAATTCTTTAAAATAGGCTCAGAATTGAATCTCAGGAAACTTTTGCCTGATTTCAACACACTGTTCTTTTTTTCTTCTCAGTTTGTTTTATGCTCTCATTGAAGTTGTGTCGCAAAATGCCTCCTCTTCTAAAACATAAAAAAAAAGTTCTGTCCCTTGGTAAAATAATAAAATTTTTGGATATGTCTCATTTTTAAATTTTCTATGCAGGCCAAAGCTTTTCTTCAAAACAGCTCAGGGAAATTTTAACTCTGAGGGACCAACTTATTAAAAAAAGCAATGGATTTCTTTAAATCAAGTTTCAAGTTTAAAAGGGATGTCGGTCGTTTCAAATCCGTATTTGGAAATTCTTAAAGAAATTAATTATTCGGCGAAACAGCGAACAATTATTTGTTATTTCTTTCCTTGCACTTCAAAAAATACAAACAATGCAAACGATTAACATTTTCAAATACTTCTATTACGTTTATTTTGAATAAACTGATGTTTTGGTTCTAAATTGTATCTCAATTTTTGGCATCATGGAACGTAACCCTCCTTATAGCATAGGAAAATAGACACAACATTCACGGCAGTTTTCTGGAACCAAATACCCGCGTATGTTAAGGGATTACTGTATTACCGAAGAAAAATTGATTGGATACCTACACCTGATGCTGGTTGCGTTTGTAATCTCTTTCACATTTGGTTATCCCTTTTTCAGTGATTGTATTTATTAGCGTGAGTGTTTTATAAAGTACCCCACAGACCCACTAGAGTGATTGGGAGAGGGGACATATAATATCAAATAGTGTGGTGACTCGACAATTCTTTTTTACTATCTATACTGTGTGAGAGGTTAGGTTTTGTTTGATTGTATTTATTAGCATGAATGAAGATGGAATCTCAGTATAATATTGATTAGTTAGATTAGGTATATATATACCAAAATACAACAGTGAAGATTGTACAATAGAAAATAAGGAAAAAAGAAAAAGAATACCATAATTAAAAGACTGTTAAAATAACAACATTAAAAGCTATTTATTGAAATGTAGGCCATTGTTTTCACTCCACTGAACTGAAATGACATCAAGAGTCTGCACAAAGTATGTTTAGTTCAATCTAATTGGATAAACTATTATTAATTTTATTTTAAACTTTCATGGAACTTATAAGTAAAAAATATTTACTTATGCGAGTTAAAACTGGAAAATAAATTAAAGGTTTTTTAAATAATACTTTTTTTCCTTAAGTTTCTTAAAATGTTCAGGGGTAAAGCTGAAAGAGAAAGTAGAAAACAATTCATAATTTTATTACTGTAGCTATTTCTATTCACTTTTGTATAGTGGGGGAATTTTTGTTTTGTTTTAGGTTGACAATTCTGATGTATCAGGGATTAGGTTATATGCAATGAGACCTAGTACTAGGATTGATGTTGCTGTTTATGTCGTTCCGGACAACCCTGAAGATTTGAAGACTTTAAAAGTTCGCCTTAGTCGCGAGGAATCACCAGACGCCGCGGTACATGTTGCCAAACTGGCTGATTTCAAGCCAAGCCCCAGTGGATACAGCGTCGACAGCATGTTGATCACCATGCCTCCCATCCTAGCCGACGGAAGGGGCTACATATTACAACTGGAGTCTTCGCTTTCCCAGGCGACGCACGAATACGTAAACAGGCCGATACATTTCAAAGCGGCGGGTTCTTTTAAGTTATTCAGGCTGCCTTTTTCACCCAAGATCAAATCCAGAGATGCAGAACTTTCTCAATCATCTTACCTCATCCTTCCATTGATTCTCATGATCACTTTTGCATATTATAACAAAGATCTTTTAGTTTCTGTAATTAAATTAGTCCTGCAAAAAGTAAAAGTTACGACGACTTTGAATAAACAACATTCTGATGATTCTTCATCAGAACCTTTTACCGATTATCCTAAAAAGAAGTCTAAATCAAGAAAAACATAAATTTTTCCTGTATTTTCTTTTCTTTTGGAGAGTTTATTCATTATTTAAAGTTTTTTTGTGAAGTTTTAAATTATTGTTTTGTAAATCTAGTCCTCAGGCATTAGGTTGTATAAATTTCAATTTTGTTTTCTTTAATTTTTTTTTGTGTGTGAAAACATGTCAACAGAAATTACAACCATCGAGATTTACATTCCTACAACCTCATTCCTTGAACTTCATTTAAATAGAACATTGTTTTTGTTGGATCCTTTATTGATATTTATAGTTTACAAGTTGGTTGTAAGTAAATGTATTTGTAATTTATTGAAATTAAACAATTTTTTCAAAAATTTTTGATTTTTTTTGTTTTGAAAATTAGACATTCTTGAGGTGCGTCGGTGGAAGATGCAATAGTTACAGCTTTGAAACGGTGGAACATATTGGCTTTTTTCCCAAAAACAGTGTAGCCCGGGGGTTATGGATTGACCTCTATAGTTGAGAACCTCAGTAAATAAATAAATAAAGTTTGTTATCCTAGTGACATGACTCATTAACTATAACATAACATTTTTATGTATATGAATAATAAAATATGTACATATTTGCTAAGAGAAACTTTGGCAAAATATATGATATGTACTTTATTACTCCTTTTGGTAAGGTGTTATTGCCTGACATATGTCCAGAGGGTAAAGTAAATATGGACGAGGTGATCCAGCCCCTTGATGCTAAAAATTCAATAAAAAACATGTTTAAAAGAAAATAGCAGTATTGGTGGGCTGGATTAGCAGAAGAAATTTTTGTACATCAAGAGCACTGTCGATAGGTGGCGCCTCGGAGGATCTGACTGGAAGAGGGTTCATCCTCACCTGATTAACAATAGGTACAACAATACAATGTAATTGAAGGTTATAACTTCTTGGCTCCTTATAGAGAGCGTGTAGGAATGCCATCTGATATGAACTCTTGCTTGAAGGGGACCCCTGTTCTTATTTTTGGAGGAAATAGGGTTGTTTTATTGTATATAGTTTTTTGTCCTTAGTTCAAAGTGAATGTATTTATTAGCTCAACAAAATGGACGAAAAAAAACAAGAAATTCACAGGCCAATAAAAAAAAAGTTTATTTTAACTCAATACATCATCAGCTCACATAATGTATTTTATGAATTTTTTTATGCACTTAATAAGAAAACCGATTATGTACACTTGAAAATCTTTAAGCATAATGCTGTTTTATTGTATTTCTAAATCAACCAATTTGTACAAATCACAGATAAACAAGGATGTCGTTTCAATCCAATCGGAGATTGTTTTCATCGCTTAAAACGAGCTTGACGTCTGTTCTTCACTCAATATCAAACTGTTTTCACACTCGTAATAAATTTTATTACAATTGTCAACTCGGATGCTGTCGTCTTCAGTGCTGAATTTCCAGATGTTACTACTAAAACAAGAGAAATTTCAAAACATTTTTGGTTTAGGGAAATGAATAAATAGTAAACTACCAGCACATTAGAAAATAAAAAGCTGACTCCAACAAAGGGCTTTGTATAGCTTTATTTTGCAACAGGCAAATCAACTTTTTTTTGCACGTGTCTGTGTCTTCCATCATTATTTTAAATAAAGTCTTTACCATGTCAAACCTGAAAAACTCAACTTATATTAACACAGCTGGAAGGAAACAAAACGCCGTCGACTTTACCTTGGTTCAGAAATTGATCTGTATCGTGTTAGATGAATAACTGGTTGGTTGAATTTCGATGCCCCAAAAATAAGGCCCAAGCTGAAAAGTTTTACGAGCAACCCACCGGTTAATAATGATGCAAAAACTACAACCAAAGCTGTGATCTTAATCAGGGCTAACCCGATCAGACCTTGAATGGCAACTGAAATATACATAAATTCACTGAATATGAGTGCATAAATATAACCAGAGCATACATATGTACATCCATACAACTCCTACTTGTAATTGTATAATATACATACTATTAAAAAAAAGTCAATATTACATCTTAATTATTACACATTTCAGCATATTTAATTGTATTATTAAACAAAATGGTTTATATTTATACTCTTACTAGGAATCCAGGGTAAACTTTGAAATTTAATCCACATAATTTAGAAGTCATAATTAACCTTATTAATTATTTCAATTAATTATACTTTTTATTTAAGGTCTTGGTTTAGATTAAAAGTAAAATTAATTAAAATTGAAGAAATTTTCTCTTGTATTTCTTTAAAAATCAATTTTTTTCTTACCCTAGACAACAAATTTTATAATAAAAAAGTAACAAATAATTTTATTTTAATATTTTGATTAGTAAATAATAATTTTCTGGTATTTTTATGATTCAATCAACCCTGGGTAGAAAATTGTAAAATTTGTAGATTTATTTTTTCATCCTCCTAACGACAAAACCACACTGTAAATGACAAATTTTCTGTTGTATAAAAATAAAATTAAATATATTAATCATAAGGCTAATTTTATAGCACGGATCAACATTGATCACGGTTTTAAGGCTGTCAGCGAGCAAATAATGATAAGATAAATTATTATCAGTTTTGTACGAGTGAGCATCCAGCCATGGATGAAATAATAATAAGGAATTCCGTGAAAGACGATTGCGAAAGGATATTTAAACAACTGCAGGTACAAAATATTTTTGAAACTTCAAAATTACATTAATCGAAATAGAAAATTTTAATTCTTCATGCGTCAAGAATGAAACTTGCAGTCATGAAGATTATGTCACATTACAAGGTATTTTGAAATATCAAATCAAAATAAACTGTTAAATTATTTTGATTTTTTTTTTATTATTTTTATTATTAGATTTTGTAGAAAATGGATTTCAGACTGCCCATCCACCTTTCGAAAGTATTATAGCAGAGGGTAATTGTTTTATTTTTATGTTAATATATTTTTAATGATATTTTTTATTCAGTATTGAAGATTTGGTAAGCACAAGTTTTTATTTTTTAAATGACTGTACAATTTTATTATTTTAATAGGAGGATGTGAGGAACAGATCATTTTGGTCTGTATATAATCGCTGGGTTGGTCTGTCAGATGCATTTTGACATTTTGAATCATACAGACTCAATGAAGATGGCAAAATGCTGAAATATGCCTGACAGACCCAGCAAGGATAGGCAGACTAAAATGAAACAGTCATATTAAAGGATTGCACAGCCATTAACTGTATAATATATTTTTATAATTATAATATTTAAATATTGTAAAAATCATTTGATAATTTTTTTAAAGATGAAAACAATACTTTGGTTGGCTTTGCAATTTGGTCAATAGGATATTCAACATGGAAAGGGATGAAAATGTTTGTTGAAGAACTGTGGCTTTCTGAACACCTAAGAGGGACGGAGTTTGAGGCAAAGTTTGTTTCCAGGTTGAACCAGGTGGATAAATTATCATTCAGATGTGTTATAAAAATTGTAACAAAAAAAAAAAAATAAAAAAAAAATTCTAGGAGGCTTTGAAGCTCGGATGCGCTGAAATTAGGACTACTACAGAAAAAGGGGCCTACATGGCAGAGATTTTCCTCAAAGCCGGAGGCATCGATGCCACAGAGGCTGAAAAATGGCATTTATTTTCAATTGAAAATAAAAACACGAACCAATAAAAATATTCTTAACATTATTAATTTTATCAACAATTACACAAATAATGATTTTTTATTGAACATTTTTAAAATTATGAATAAATAATATTAGCAATGAAGTTTGACTGTTCAGAAACACACAAACAAGAAACACAAACCAAAGAGAAAGAAAACTATCTATGATATTTCTATCTACCTAAGTATTACACCAATTTTTTTTTTGAGGATCAATTTTTGGATATTTTCTTTCATTATAATAATAGTCACTGAGGCAAGATATTCTAAAATTTGAAAATTCCTGGGGAATTTTTTGACGATAGGAATATAAAAAATAATTGAGCAATTTCTTCTTGTGATGTGCGGGGTATTTGTATTTACAGCTTGAATATTTCTGGTTATTTTGCCATCTTCATCTGTTGATATGTGTTATTTTGTAAAACTCACTAAGATGGAGCAATGTCAAAATACATCTGACAGACCAAACCAGTTTTAGGCAGGTCGGTATGACCAGAAACAGCCATATTCTAATGAAATAAAACTTGCATATTTAAGCTATTTTTTAATCTAACACACTATGATTGTAACAATAAACAATATTAACAAAGATAAACCTAGAGCATATTTGTGTGTTTTAGAATTTTATCATATTTCTGTTTACACAAAAAAACCTTTTCTCATTTAAAACTCGCGCTTTACACTTGTATATTTTCTCTACTTAACAGAAAAACATTGAATTATAGATATGCAACCTAACCCGTACCTAACATTCACCTAACCCTACCTTACTTAGCCCAACCCATTCTTCACATTAGCCTAACCTAGCTTAACCTAATCCAACTAATGCGTACTCGCTAGTAATGCAAAATCTATGTCATGAAAATTTAAATTTATGGTCTTTACTCAATGTTAAATACATTGATTTAGTTTCATTTGAATTTTTTCTATGTCAATTGAGTCTTAAGTTCTTAGTCAAGACACTTGTTATAATTCTTCTTTTAAGCACTGGGAAATTGCTTTTTATAAAATCCAATAAAGAAACACTTAGATTGTCTAATATATATAGTAAGTTATACATTAAAATTTTTTTTTAAGTTTTGGTCTATCACACAAATTTAGGCATCTTAAGAGTTTAGTGTATTAATTTGAAAGGTAGACTAAAATGATCAGTCACGACCAAATTATAGGTTCATCTCATGATATTTTATAAGATGATCAATAAAGTTTTTATTTTATTTTTGACGTGGTTAACCTTAGGTAAAATCCGCCCTGGAAACCAAGCACAGCAGAATCTATTTGCAATTTTTTCCATGTTCGTTATCGTTTTTGAATGAAAAATCGCCAGGAGAAATGGAATTTACTTGATTTTTATCTATGAATTAACATGATCTAGACGTCTAGCATCCGATCGATCATCTGTTCTCATTGTCTCAATTATTTTGGTCCAACTGTCATCGCTGTAAATATGTAGAGTTACTTAAAATAAATCGACCTAGCGAGATCAGGCGGACCAGGATGATAAATGACGATCAAGGAAAAGGTTTTTAGTTTTGACATGGTTAAGAGCTAACTTTAGGTAAAATCCACCCTGGAAATCGAACATAAGCAAAATGTACTAGCAATTTTGTTCCATGTTCGTCATCTAATCGTTTTTGAATGAAAAATCGCCAGGAGAAATGGAATTTATTTGATTTTTATCTATGAGACGTCTAGCATCCGATCATCTGTTCTCAGTGTCTCAATTATTTTGGTCTGACTGTTCTCGCTGTTTTGGCCTGTCAAACATGTTTCAGAAACTTTGATTTATTTGTTATTTTGTCAATTGTTGTCCTTTTAAAATCCGACCACTAAATATGTAGAGTTACTTAAAATAAATCTACCTAGCGAGATCAGGTGAACCAGGATGATATATGATGATCAAGAAAAAGGTTTTTAGTTTTGACATGGTTAAGAGCTAACTTTAGGTAAAATCCGCCCTGGAAATCGAACATAAGCAAAATCTACTAGCATTTTTTCCCATTTCGTTAACTAATCGTTTCTGAATGAAAAATCGCCAGGAGAAATGGAATTTATTTGATTTTTCTCTATGAATTAACATGATCGAGACGTCTAGCATCCGATCATCTGTTCTCAGTGTCTCAATTATTTTGGTCAGACTGTTCTCGCTGTTTTGGCCTGTCAAACATGTTTCAGAAACTTTGATTTATTTGTTATTTTGTCAATTGTTGTCCTTTTAAAATCCGACCACTGAATATGTAGAGTTACTTAAAATAAATCGACCTAGCGAGATCAGGCGGACCAGGATGATAAATGACGATCAAGAAAAAGGTTTTTAGTTTTGACATGGTTAAGAGCTAACTTTAGGTAAAATCCACCCTGGAAATCGAACATAAGCAAAATCTACTAGCATTTTTTCCCATTTCGTTAACTAATCGTTTCTGAATGAAAAATCGCCAGGAGAAATGGAGTTTATTTGAATTTTATCTATGAATTAACATGATCGAGACGTCTAGCATCCGATCATCTGTTCTCGGTGTTTCAATTATTCTGGTCCGACTGTCATCGCTGTTTCTGCCTGTCAGAAGTGTTCCGGAAACTTGGATTTATTTGTTATTTTGTCAAGTGTTGTCCTTTTAAAATCCGACCACTAAATATGTAGAGTCACTTAAAATAAATCTACCTAGCGAGATCAGGTGAACCAGGATGATATATGATGATCAAGAAAAAGGTTTTTAGTTTTGACATGGTTAAGAGCTAACTTTAGGTAAAATCCGCCCTGGAAATCGAACATAAGCAAAATCTACTAGCATTTTTTTCCTATTTCGTTAACTAATCGTTTTTGAATGAAAAATCGCCTGGAGAAATGGAATTTATTTGATTTTTATCTATGAATTAACATGATCGAGACGTCTAGCATCCGATCATCTGTTCTCAGTGTCTCAATTATTTTGGTCTGACTGTTCTCGCTGTTTTTTTCTCTCAAACATGTTTCAGAAACTTTGATTTATTTGTTATTTTGTCAATTGTTGTCCTTTTAAAATTCGACCACTGAATATGAAGAGTTACTTAAAATAAATCGACCTAGCGAGATCAGGCGGACCAGGATGATATAACATAATGAGCCGAAAGCTTTTGAGTTTTGACGTGGTTAATTTTTTTCCCTTTTTATTTTGTCAATCATCTGTGATTCAGGTTTTTTGTGTAGATGACACAAATTTTATTACATATCTTAAAAAAATATATATATTGTTTGTTTATTTTAGTTTTTACCTTTTTCATCGTGTGAACAAATTGAATCTGGTTAATTCAACTCGACACCTATAAAGTTTTACAGATTAAAATTTAAAAATGGAAAACTACAGATCCGAGGCGGGATAATCCGACATTATCTTCACGTCAACCTGGTTCATACGTATTCACAAAGTTATTTGCAGTTTTAAAATAGTTTTTTTTTCACAGTATAAAGTTTTATACTTTGGAAAAAGCAGTACAGAGGGAATTTGTAATTTAGTATATATAAAAATAAAATAAAAGAACTTTCTATTGGAATTGTCCTTTTGGTTCTCTTCAAAGAACTTTTCGTATGCAATTGTTATTTAATATGTATAAAATTTAGATTTTTAAAGAAAACTATTGTCGATTTATATTGTGTAAAATTTGGGTTAGTCTTTATTCAGATTCAGCCAAGCCTTCGTCAAATAAATACTTAAATTTTAAAATTGTACGATTTTATAATAATTTCTTCTCGTGAAATTTCAAAATTTATAGTTTTATCACGTTTTTCTTACAAAATGAGAATAAGAGAATTCGTTTTCATTTGACAAACATTAACGTGGCCAGAGTTTCTTCCAGTTTCGTTGAATTATGGAACTCTCGGTTCAACTTTGTCCCGTCATATTCCAAATGATCCGACATATCCTCGTGTTACTCGTCTCACAACGTTCTTCACCCAAGTCTAAATATTTATCAAGTACACGGCCCCAAGGAGTAACTCGACCCAGGGACCACTAACAGGATTACCAGAAGAACAAGTTGCAAGTTGGCAACAAAGAAACTTTGTAATGAAAGCGCTCGATTATGACATAAACAAGAAGTAGGTAAGTTACCTGAAAAATAAAGGAAAACTGGCCTACCGGAGCTACAACTTTCTTAGTTAACGGTGCCACATCAACTCAAGAGAAATTCGTTAGAACAAGCTTTTGACTTCTAGGTGTAGAAGGATCAGGAATTTTTTAAAAGAAGTTACTATTTTTATATTTATTAATATTGTGTATTTATTTATGAGATTTGAACTTATAAGGAGGGTCATCTTGGATATTTTCTGCTCTTGAGCTTTTCAGAGCTAGCTCCTTTACTATCCAAAGATTTTTAATTTATATATTTATACATGTATATTTTTATGCTTTTAAAAACTAGACAGAAAATATTGATTTATTTATTACAAAATCCTTCGTGACAAAGGGAGAAGACATTTGATTAAAAAACTAGACCACCGGAGGGTATATACGCCGTGCAATCTCCCCCGTACAAATTAATCAAAACTCTTGAATTGTTTTCCCCGAAGGGGGTTGCAATTTCTTTCCCAGGGTTGGTGTTATTATTGGGGTCGGGTTTTCCAGGAGAGGAAAACGGCCAGGGCCGTTCTATCTAATGAGAAGGGGCGTGAAAGATCACGTAGAAGCTATAGATCACTTACTCTGAGTGTAATGCGCCGGATGAACGGTCGGAGGCAAGAAACCAGTGCCCAGGGCAGGTAAATACGGAAAGAACATCCCTGCGATGACCTCCTCATCACTGGCCCCCTCAAAACGGAGAAACGTCGTATATATTCGGGCTAACCGGGCCAGAACAAGGGTCACTCAGTCACGCCGTCTGTCAGTTACAACAGTCTCCGGTGTCACTTGGACCGTGGAGAAATACGTTCCGTTAAGGTTGAATATTAATTTCTTACCACAAGTGAATAAGTAGGCGACTTATCAAATTAAAACTTTTCCCAATTGCCTTTCACCTGAGTACACAATGCAAAATGTGCTTGTTGGAGGAGGAGAAAAAAATTCCTGTTCTTCAGGACAGAAGAAAGTATCTTAAAGAGTCCTAATATCTACAAGCAGTTACGTAACTTCATTCAGATCAATTCAAAATTATTTGATTTTAATCAATTCTGGTTTGAGGATGATTTAGGTAAACCTAGGTTTAGGTTAGGTAACCTGCAAGATGACCATTTGGTCCTTTCTTTTAGACAATTCCAAAAATCTTTTCATCACCTTTTTTTATCGTCTTTTGTCGATCATTGTGTTAATTTCTCAACCGTATCATGTTATAAGCTATATTTTATATATGTAACTGCATATTAAAACAAAACATATTCAAACTCACACTCTTGCACATTTTCAAATTTCTTCTTTTCTTGCGGACAGAACAAGCGAAGATAGGCAGAACAAAATTATTAGAAAATCAAATTAACTATTCTTTTTATCTAATGTCTTTGGTTGAGATAAAAAGTTGGTGTCACGATAGGTCAAGTGGTTAGAGCAGCGGCGTATTGAGCCGAAGGTCGTGGGTTCGAATCCCGCTCGTGACTCTAATTTTTCATCTCAACCAAAAACCTTCAATAAAAAGAATAATTAATTGGAATAATTAATATGGTCAATTATGACCACTAAACCCTCAGGGTACCGGTGTTTTTGAAAAAAAAACTCATTGGTAAGTATGTCGGGTTCGAACGCAGGGCCGCTGGATTCGAACCCGGGACCTTTACCTTACAGTGATGTGCGCCGTGGCAACGCACCGTTGCGGCCACTGACGCCCCATAAACTACAGGTTCAAAACCCCGAAGAGACAAAAAGTAAATCTGATAGATCATTTGTAGACTGGTCGTTTCGGAGCATTTTGGTGAAAATATCCTCGCCGTTTTGGACTTTCAGACGCGTTTTTTCATTCAAGCTACCTTCAGGTTTCTTTGTAAAATCATAGACAGAACCAACTAAGAAAACATTTTCGTTGTTTTGGTCTGATAGACGCTTTTCACTTGTCACCATCTTCAGAGGTGGGTTTATTTAGAAAATCACAGGATAGGCAAACTATAGGTTCATCACCCTTAAGACAAAATAGAAATTTGATGGATCATTCATAGTTTGATCTTTTCCGATCAATTTTGTTCGTACATCTTTGCTGCTTTGGTTTGTTAGGCGCCTTTCAGAGGTTGGTTG